TCTGTGAGTGAAAAAGTTGAGTGGAAAGCAGAGGGGGAAGGAGAAGGGTTTGGTTGTTTCCTGTAAATCCACCTTTTCGGGCCAAGGTCGATAAAAATTTTAAAAAATTAAAAATGTGCCCTCGGCTGAAATGACGGGAATGCCCCCGGGGGTTCTTGGCGATGAAACGGGGGCCGTACACGTGGAGGCGATGGGGAAGAGGGGGAAATCTGTAGCACACGAGGACAAATAATAATTAAAATTGCGTCGGGTGCCCAATAGTGCCTTTTTCAGGTTGTTGTTTTTGACTACTCGTACTGCTCGACTCCTTTTTTCCTCTTTTTTTTTTCTTCTTTTTTTTAAATAACAGAAAAACATTATTTTGTCCCAATCTAAAATTTTTCTTGTTTGGTTCAATTATTGAGATTTTTTCTTGCCCATTCGTGACATACTAATGCTTTGACTGCCCTCTCGTTATCATTTGCTTTCTTTCTTTGTATTGTTTCTTCTTTTTTTCTTAAAAAGTATATATATTTATATATATTTGCATGCATGTGAAATTAATATTGATCCCATGCAAATGCACACCCATGCATCTTTCACCTCATATTTAATTTTTGCAATCATGACTCTAGTTGTCTTGCATTAATTTAAATCCAAAACTTGTTGTCTCTATGAATTAAGATTCTTAGAGAGAAAAAAAAAACCTTTCTAAAAAGTATTTTTTGTTTTTTATAGAATGTAATATTAGATTCAAACTATTAAGTTAGGTTTAAACTTAATTTTATAAACTTTTTATTTTCACTTGCATCTTTTTTTTAATAATACATTGCAACAAAAGAGGGAGAGATCCAACCTCCGACCAACTAAAAGAAATATGTTTGTCTAATCCCCACTTAGCTGAGAATTAAAACTATTAAATTTTATGAAGAGATGAAACAAGAGGTATGAGAGAGAGGGTGGGTTTAATGTTGTGGAATTGAAATGAAGCCAGTTTGAGAGGTAATAAATGAAGTGAGGCCTTGACCAAATTTAAATTTCCTTTTTCTTTTTCTTTTTTTCCCAATACGTCATAAACTTAGATAAGGAGATTAGTGAAGAAAACAAATTAATAAAAAAAATTATTATAAATCGGGCCCTTTTACCCACAAAAATCTCATATTATTATACAAAATCAACCGACAGCGACAACCTCGCAAGGCACTCCCCAAAACGCACTGTCCTTCAACTGGAAAACGTGCTCCAATCGTACGTTTCCAATGCTCGCCATTTTCCCCAAGTTCTAACCTTTTAAACTAAATTATCATTTTCTCTTATCGCTTCCTTTTAACCCAGATTCTCCAACCCTAAAATTTCTCAATTCTGTTTGTTCTTTTTTTTTTTCCTAAGTAACATGATTACATTTCGTGAACAACCCCCATTCTCATCAATTTTGTTGATCTTGTGATATACTTAATTATTCATTCTATTTCCAGAGACAATAAAGCCAAAGTTTGAAGGAACGGGAAAAAGGAGAGACTAGAAAGTTGAGAATCAACCTTTTACTCTTTCACAATAGATTTTTACTGTATGGTTAAAGGATAATTTGTTTCAATTAAATTATTCTTAACTAGTCGAATAGGAGAAGTAACTTAGCCCAAATGGAATACTATTTTGTTTATTATATTAAATACAAGAATAAGGAAGGTATCCAAATAATACCTAAAATTTCCAACTCCTCTTTGACGTTAAATCTTTGAGAAAGACTGTACTGTTATTTACATGTTCTTGTTGTTTTAAGTAAAAGGCGAAAGAATGGTTCGTTCTGTGCTCAATGTTTGACTCCATGATAACATTCTTGTTTTTGTTTTCTAGTAATAAAATTGAAGGCCTGCCTTGAAATTTTTTAAAAAATAATTTTTACATTGACCATATATTTTATGTATTAAAAACCAACTATTTTTCTCATATAGAAACATTTGCCAACTTTGAACATAGATTAACTAGGCAATACACAAACTAACCTCTTAGAAGATTAGAAGTTTAAAAGGCACAAACTAACATCCCGAAGGTTAGAGATTAAAAGTCTCCATGAAAAAATTCTCACACTACTCATACTCACACCCATCATTTGTCAAATCATAAGCACGGAAGAACGGAGATGAGTCAACTTATAATAAAACAATATATTACTAAAACATTTTCAAAAAAATAGCAAAAAAACAATTATCGAATATATATATTTCTGAAAGAAATAAAAACAAACAAACGACAACATTATCAAAAATATATATTTCTAAAACAAAAAATAAAAGAACAAAAACATAAATTAAGAAAAAACGATAACGCTATCAAATGAGTGCAAGTGGACGGTAATAAAAGGAAAGACGATAACATTATCAAACGAGCGAGTGTGCGGTGAGTGGTAGTATTGTGAGAGTGTTAGGGCAGTAGGTAATTCCCATTATTATAAGAGGACAAATAGAAGTTGAGTAAAGTTGTAAAAATGGTGTGTGTGGTATAAAGATTAAATAGTTTTATGTGTAGTAGCTTAACTAGGTGGTGTTCCCCATTTGGTCCACATGATTCATGGGCCACCATCCACTCGCTTTCTGTCTCTCCCATCACTTTCTTGGGTTACAAAAAGTAAGTGAAAGGGATGTCCTGTTGTGTTAACTTCCCTGCTTCCCACCAATCCTAAGAAGGTCACTGTGTAAAGGTTTCAATTCAACCACAACATCCCCCATCCGGGGACCTACCTACCCATTTTAATTACCCACCATTCTTCCCTTCAACTGTTCCCTGTTCCTGTATGGACCCTACTGTGTAGTCTAAACATTCAAACACTTGATTTATCTTTTCACACCTATCCATCTTTCTAACAGGGATTTCATTTTTTGTGTTCTGTTCACTACCACATCTCTCTACATTGATAAGAATTTTCAAAACATGACCAACCCTGACTACACTCCACTCTTTGACCCTCCTTTCCAACCCCACCCCCACCCCTCCCCTCCAAAAGCAAAATCCAAACCCTCATATATAAAACCTAAAAGTTCACAATAAATCCTCCAAGTTTCAATTATGTGTCTAATAGATCACACTGTTGTTAACTCCACTAGTTTGGTGCTTACGTGACATACTAATTATAAGTAGGTTTGGACATTTGGGGCAAAAACGTAAAACTATGGAGTTAACAACAATGACTTATTAGATACCAAACTGACCTAACTAAACATTATAACTTTGTAGACCTATTAGACACAAGATAAGACTCCAATTTTTTAATTTTGTGAGTAAAAAGTCTGATTTTTTAAAATATCTAATAATTCATAAACACTGAATTAAGAGTTTAGAGATTAATTAGGCACAAAATTGAGAGTTCTTAGATAACTTTTGAGAGTTAGGAATCTACTTCTGATTTAACCCTATATATACATACTACTCTATCATTAACGGTAGGAACTAGGAAGCTTACAAGACGCCCTTCTCTTTGGCCAAGTAATGGTGCACTCATGCCATGCATATTATCAAACAGATTGCGGAAGTCAATAATGTAGAGAATTAAATTTAAAAAAAAAAAAATTTGACTTGTTATTCTACTACTGTTAATAAGGGAACACATTTTTCAGGTCATTAAAGTAAGATTTATACCTTTGAGCTAGTCCAAACATGCCTAGGGTACCACCAGTATGAAGCAATACCACCACATCTGCATTTGTTTTGGCTCCCTTTTGAGAAAGAAAAGAAGCCATTTCCCAAGCAGCCAGAGTATAAATAGGATCAACAAGAATACCGGTTTTCTGAGCAATTTGTCTGCACGTCTCCACTTCCCCATCCAACACATTGCCAAATCTACAAAATGGGAGAGAGAATGTAATACAGACAGCCTAATTCAAACAGTACGATATTCTTAATATGTATTCGAATGGGAGAGAGAATGTAAAAGAGGTTAAAATTAACTCCCGTTTGATATCAACAAAGTTCAAGAAATTATTTTAAATTAAGTAATTAGAAATGCAATAAATTATTTGAAATTCTTTTTTCTTGTTTAGAATGGGAATGATCTGAAATGAATTTAATTAATTACATTTCTTGTTTGCTTGAAATGAAAAAAAAAATAAAAAATTTGTTGATTTAGGCTTTTAATCTAAATATATTAATTAGAAATTAAAATATGACAAGTTTAAATAAATAATTTACTTTGAAATTTTATGAAATCCTTGCAAAATCCAACCATTTTAATCAAAAAAAAAATTCCATAAAAACACGATTTGAAATTATCATTCAAAATTCTGAGGTTCCAAATAACAAAATTTATTTGAAATCACTCAAAATTGTGAGGTACCAAACAGACCCTAAAACGAACTACTCACTTTCTTGGATGGAAACGCTCTACCCAATTGACAACTGCACCATTTACTACATTGTTGCCTAGGTCAGCAGGATAGCCAAAATACTTCCTGAATTCAGAAATCAAACGTTTCTCCTGCTGTTTATACCCGTCAATTTTATCAGCCAGCATCAGTGCAGTGACCTCCCACGGGAGCCTGGCATGAATGACAAAGAAAGAGTGTTTCAGCACAACTTAGTAACATTAGAAACTAATGCAATTCTCATATGGATTTCACCAGACAGATTTTGCACAAACCCTAAACATAGAGCTCCAAGACCCAAACCTACTGCAGTCGTCCCAGTTCCAGCATCTACAACAAACTTAACAGCTCTCTGTTTCCCAAGTAAATGATCCTGGGAAAGGTACTTCACCAATCGAATTAAACCTAAGAAAGAGTGAACTTTTAGCATTGAAACAATGCCTGAAAAGACATGCAAACAAATAAAAACTAGAACTAGGCAAGTGATCGAGCAGTCGTCATAACAAGCATATTTTCTTATTTAGCAAGAAATTAAAGCATGTCAAAGATGAAGTAAAAATAATCTTGGAGACGTTTAGAGCTTGCTTGACTTGTGATTTAAAGAAGAATTTTCAAAACATAAGAATATACGATCTTTATTTTAGCCCCAAATTTCAGATGTTAAATCTATAGGCGAAAGTGCCTGTAACAGAATAGATGGAGGTAAATACTCCATTACATCTTCCTACCAACATTCACATCCATGCAAGATACTATTTAATCAGGCCACTCTTGTATATATCAACCACAGAACTACGTCTTTGCATCGAGTTAGTCAAACTGGAAAGCACTTTTCCATGCAAGATTTTGGTTCATTCCACATAATAATTTCAAATCAAGGGCAACAATATCAAAATATGACTGCAGCATGTAAATGCAAGATCCTGAAAAATGACAAACTAAAAAGCTTTTTCATCTCGTCTAAAAGGCTGCCATGAAATACAGATTCAAAATTCGTATGCAAATCAATGTTATGGAAAATCATTTTCTGACCAAAACTAAATATGTAATACAAGCCCTCGGGCCGAGGATCAGAGGTAAATATGTCATACAAGCCCCCAAGTTATGTTGATGGAATATTAAGATATTAAGATTATACTCACTTCAGAAAGAACGGTTTCCAGTTACCTAGCAACGCGACGGCATCTCCAGCTCCTTCATTGATAACTATAACCTTTCTTCCATGCTTTCTAGCCCTTCTATTAAAATCATAATCAATTTGCACAGAATTTGTAGAACACGCTTGCTTCTTAAGAGAAGATGGAAAAATATCATCGAACCATATGATACCGTCACTACTGCCTGCCACCAAATCAGCTTGGCTCTTGAGCATTTTTTCCCGATTGGCATAAATAGCTCTGGGAACATATGTGACATTTCCATATATTGTTGAAATTAAGTTGTATCCAGTTAAGAGTTCAGGTTGCTCCCCGCGTAGAAGTAAATGTGACCTCAGACCCCGTTCTGCACATAAAACAGCTGAAAGTATAAAATCAGTGCGCAGAAACAAATTTCTACCAGGCTCATTTACATTGGCTGAGTGGGGAGTAAGAATGAAGACAATGAAGACAAGAGGATATCTTTTTATATATTCAACATTTTTTATATACATTTTGCGCTAGTCTTAAGTACTTTGGAGCAAATAAAATAAAATAAAAATTTCCAGCTCCAAGGTGACAATTTGAGGAGCAAAAAGAAGAAAAGGGGAGGGGAAAAAAACAGAACCTTGCAAGACATCCATGGAACACCTACAAAAACTTGACAACATCCTACCATGGAACCTGAATGAAATGTACCCTAATCCTTGAGGACAACATCCTTTCTCTTGTCACTCTACTAAAACTTGACGTTGTGGTCTCGTCTCACAATTGTGTGAAAAATAGAGAAAGAAAGAAAAGTTTTCTGGATGGGAAGGCACCTACCAGTAGCAGCTGCATGTGCACTTTGACAACCCCCACATGTAACCTATAAAATGGTTCAAATTCAGTGAATTGTTCCCGATCCTAAAGGTTAATAAGTGGCATGATCAGAGCGGGCATAGTTATGAATAACACTAAACTAAATAAATAATTTCGGTTCCATCAACTCCAGGAAATGTCCAGGCGCCAAAACTAAAACCAATCCTTCGCAAACTAAATGCTTATATTGAAATATGTAAAGGTAAGAGGGATAAGCAATCTTGGTGCAGAAAATTTAGGAGATGGTAAACAGGTTTATTAATGTACCTTATCTAACAATGACATTTCTTAATCAATTTTCTGATTTTTACCAACTTTACATATTGTTAAATTAACTTATCCATGAACATTTTGTTCATAAACTGCAAGCATAGAAAAATAAATTTAAGTAAAATTTCAGACGAACAACATAAATCAAATGGATCCTCTAAACAAGAAATTAAAAATAAGTGCGATGTTGATGCCTAATATCAACAGCCCTCTGCTCAAAATAAAAAGTTCGTGCTATAACACTCCTTTATCCTTGGCAGAACACCAAGGATCCAATAAGAAAGATATTAATCTATGGATACTTGCAGAGAACTGACATTCAAAACAGACATTAAACAAGAAAATTTACCGGAAAGCTTCCTACTATGCCCAAAGAGATATAATCTCACCACATCAGTCACTGAGTTATCTTCAATTAGAGGTAGAACTCCATCCAGTTTTCTTGCCTTGTTACCATTTATCAGTGGGTGCAATAAATCATCCCTAACAACATAGAATGACTGCTCTTGATAATCTGTCCTCGACACATCATTAAACGTACAACTATTTGTGTCGACTGCCAAGCACAGGTGACTAGCAGGTGAATTTTCAAGATTTGTATCTGCATTTGAGAACGTAACTTTGCTTATCTTGGTATCGGGATCAGCCAACGTCCATCTTCTGTCCAATAATCTAGACACAAACTCTTCACCGCCTAATTTGACACCCTGCCCACCGAGAATAATCCATCATGATTCGTACTCGAAGTAAACAATATAAGAGAGTCGTGCTACAATTGATATGAGATAAAAACGAAGACAATTGAGGGAAAATATCAGCAAAATTGGGTTTCGTCCAAAAATATATATACGCAAATCAGCATTAGTCACAACTTATATAGTCTTTTCTTAACTGACGAGTGCAGTGAATGAGATAATCAATCCCAAATCTACATGAATGAAAATGCTGGAAACTTGAATCTCGTAAACCTGCGAACCATCGGTAAAGTTACGGAAGGAAAATTCGTTGTCAACCGCTGCAATAGCTGTTTTACTGTGAAGCAAACGAAGTTTCGTAGCACTGAAAAAGTATCCAGGCCCTCCCATTTCCGACTCAACCACCGTCCTCCACCACCGGAGAACGCCGGAAACATCGCCGGGCCGACTGGGGACGCTCATGAAGCTACAAACGGAGCGCGCGCTCCCCATTTTGGGTATCCCCTGCCTCATATTTTCCCGCTGCCACCATTCAGTGCGGCTTCTCCAAGATTAATCTCTCACTCTCAACTTACTTATTTACCTATTTTCTGAATTTGCATTGGACATTCATAAAAGGTTTAGAAAAATAAATATCATAACAGTTTGAAAAAGAGAATTAAAAAGTAAAAAATAATGATTCGACTTTAACATAATTTATAAAATCACTGGAAATTGTTGTGGAAAAAAAAACTTTATAATGCCAAATTATTTACTTTTTTTTTAGTACATAATGCCAATTTATTTTTAAATGTGGGTTTAAAGTAGATATTTATATTTAATTAAATAAATTCAGGGACAGCAAAAATCTTTTATGTATTTCAAAATACGTCACCTGTTTTTTAAATTTTCAAACATAGTCAAAAATTTCACGTATACTAGATACTCATATCAGTATATCAGACATTCATATCGATTGTATTTTAGATGTATACAACATACGTATTGTACAGACACTCGTATCAATAATATCAATAATATATAAAATGTATATCACATACACATTGCAAATATATCACACTCATATTAGTATATTTGATTTATATCATATACATATATCAGTAGTTAGATATATTATAAATATATTACAGATATATATCATTTGGGTAAAATTGTTATTCAAAATTGGACCTCCATTTTTTTTTCTTTTAAAAAATGTTATATTTAAAAAAATTAAATGTGGTTGCTATTTTATTAATTTGACCAAATGATTTTGACATATTTACAACCATCCTTTAATAAAAATTAATCCAATTAATAATAAAGTAAGTAATGCCCTTTTGATTCCAAACGAAGTTTTAAGAGGTGAAAAAGAGAGTAACAAATGCTATTAATAAATGAACTTAGTTTTTTTATTTTCTAAAAAATATTTATTCAACCGCATTTATTTTCTAAGAGTATAAACAAAATTCCGAGGTCTCAATTTACAAGAATATCGAGAGAAATATCGATCAAATATCAACTTAGATGATTATTTATAGAAAAAATATAAAAATATTTTCTTAATAAATATTTAAATTAACAGTTTTCTTAACATCGCAATAACATTTTAAAATAATTTTTAATCTGCATACACACTAAAAAGAATATTAAAAAAAGTTCATGAACCAACTTTGAGTATCAGTTATCACAGTATTTAATAATCTTACTTCACTATTTAAAAATAAAATTTCAAACAAAAAAAATAAATAAATACTCATACACAATTACTAGACTGGAGTCTTTTTCTTTTCCTCTCTTTTTGGCGGTTACATTACTGAGAATGGGATCGTAGGATGTGTTAACTGGCCACATAAAGTATTTCAACATTGACAATATTTAAAAATGACGCTAGAAATACAAGGGAAAAAATCCTTTAAAAATTTATGACTTAGAGAGTGGGATGATAAACCAGTATGTTGTCGTTTCATATCAAACGACATGTCGCACTGGAGTTCTAGTTCTACACAAGCAATCATGGATGTCGATGGCTATATTTCGTTTCCCCAAGGTTTCTGTAAAGGGGAATGGCCAAATATTTGCAGCCCAATGAATTAGAGTTTTTTTTTCCCCCAACACAAGTACAGTATTGAATATTTTACTTCTCTATTACTACTGCTAATACTACAATTGGGAGGGAGCTAATACGTTACAACAAAATTCCCACTTGGAGAATGGGAAAAAAAAAAAGAGAGAGAAAGAGAAGGGGCAAGTGAACTAAAAAGAAAAAACTATGCAGGATGGAGGGAGCAAGGTGGGACTTTACTCTTCTCCTGAACATGGGACCGGATCTGTAGGTTGCCCAAATATATCAGGAATTCCTTCCCAATTCTTTCTGTCTCTAGCTTCCCAATAACCACCCAAATAACGGTAACAACCATCTTCATCCTTCTGAAACCATCTGGGTTGCCAACCTCTCTCCTGCAACTTCCGGGCCTGCATCGAATTATAAAACGTAACTTCGGTGCTAGCTTCTTAACAAAATGCATGTGAAACAATGAAATGTAGGACTCAGTAACATATTATGGTTTCATCATTAGAATCCCCCAATAAGGATGTGTTGTTGTTAGTTCTTTTTTTTAACAAGATACGAATGGAACTCATTTTTTGGTAAGTTGAGCAGAGTGTAGGGCATTTAGTGGTAATCAACATTTATGTCACTTTCAGCGTTCACACATGCAATGGAATGAAATAAACCAAAACCGTTTTCACATTGAGTGAACCCAAGACTACTTAATGAGGGAGGGGCAGCAAAGACTAGAAACTTGAACTGGTATGCATTAGCATTAATTGTTAAAATCAATAATTAGGCACAGATAATGGACGGCTGAGGCAAATATCTATTGCACGACTTATTTTCGTGTCCAATCAATCGAACCTGAATATAATGATAGAATAGCATGAACTAAAGTACCTGTCTCTGCAACTGTTCAAGTCTAAGCTTCTCAGAATTTGCCAACTCATATTCTCCGTTTTCCAGATGTCTTTGATCTGGTCTAAGCCTCGAGTCAGTTGGAGGCAGTATCTCCATCAAACCAGGTGTAAGTTCATTCAAGGATATTGCAAAGGGGGAGAGATTATATCTTGTTTTAGTTTCAGATCTGTCTCTTTCCCAGAGCAATACAGCTTCTGTCATCGGATCATACCCCTTGGGCTTTGTAGTTGGGTCTCCCAACACATAGTACATCGCCTCATCCCACTTTCCCACCAACAGTGCTACCTTCTCTCCAGTTCTATTATCTTGCACAAATCCATGGACCTGCAGGAATGAAGAAGTTTTTTTTAATGGATTTTTCAGATGTTTGTTTGTATTCTTACAATTCTGCACAGGGATGGTAAACAAATCATACTTTGTTCCTTGACCACAAAATTTACCTGATGTGGATTCCGATCAATGATTGACTGTTCCTTGAACTTAAGCTTGCAGGAGTAGTTGCCACTGCCCTTGATTCGCATGGTGCCATAATGATCACAGTAAATTTTGCCTAGTATGATATTGTAAATTGAAGTAGTGACCTTGCTCCATTGGAACGTCTCCCCATCCTCAAACTGCAAGGTAAGGGCACCCACAGGATCAAGCTGAATGGATCTCCCCCAAAACTTACCCTTGAGATTGGAGTCTGCCCAAAATTTCCAGCCTCTTCCCTCACAATGGCAAGCAACAATCATTGGATGGTGACTTACCTGAGGGCAAGGTTGTAATGGTTAGATACAAAATCAAAGGTTTGTAGACAATACCCTCCTCCCCAAACTTCATTTGTTATAAAAATAAAATGTAGTACCTCCAGCATGAAAAGCACCCAACAAAAATGGAAAACACTCTTTGAATGTAAAATGCAATATTAAGTTTTTAGGTATGCAAGAAAATCATTACTTTTTCTGAGAAAAAACGAAGTCCTTTGTCTGGATAGTCAGCTTCGTAGGTCTCTCCAAGTAGAGGATTAAATGGTTTACATTGTCGACCTTCTGTAGAAGCATAGCCAGAAACAGCAAAAGCAGCAATCTTTAAAATTCTCATCAAGTCATTCCCCTGCACCACAAATCATAAAACTGATTGATTTAAGGGGAAAATGTTCGATTAAACACTATAACAGGTATCAAATTCACAATATGGACTCAATAAGAGGAATTACTGAACGTGTGAAATATCAATGTACAGCTATGCTCCTTCTCCTAACTTGTTAGCCACTTGGAGAGAGATAACTTCTCTCCAAAAGTACACTTTTCTTTTCTTTTCTCGCCTTAATTAAAAAGCCATATTCTCTTTCTTCAACTAAATCCGCAACCAGACTTTACCTTTTTATCCCTCTTCACATTCATATTAAAGATTTTTAGATCAAACACACTAGAAACCAAGTTAAAAACAGCATGCAATGGAAAACACCTTTACGTAGGTTGTATGATCAATATACACATTCACATTGTTGTCCTGGTGGAAATTAAAATTCCAACATCGTACTCCCAATTATGTTGAGATAGGGATATAATATGTTTCAGTTTGACAAAGTTCTCCAGAAATTAGAATTCAGCTTTAAAAAACTGTGTTTCTCGAATTAACTAACTTCCGTTGGTAGTGTCTTATATTTTCTCGCTTCAGACAAGTATTTAATCACTTGAAAGAGTATATAAGGCAGGATAAGAAACCCTCCCCAAAAGCCAAAGAAAATATAAACTCTATTAGCAAAAACAAAAATCCAAAACTTCCACATTCTCTCATGAGGTTTCACCTGCGCAGGACCCATCTTTTTGTCTGTCTCCCTTAATTATTCAGCCTTCAGTTAAGCTGCTCTTTTCACCTTGCTCTCCAGGACCCATCTTTTTGTCTGTCTCCCTTAATTCTTCAGCCTTCAGTTAAGCTGCTTTTTTCACCTTGCTCTCCACATCCCTCTTGCTATAAGTCTCACTCTTTGTCCTCACTCTTGCTATTTGTTGCTTACTGTTTCAATCTTGCTTTGTCTCTCTCGTCTAGGTCTTCCTATCTTTCCCACTCTCTGCTTCCTCTCTCTCTTCTTACCCTGCTTGCACTTTATTTCTCTTGCTCTATACATTCCTCTCTTTATCCCTCTCGATCATTGCCTCCGCTCTCCATTGGTATATCCTCTCTCCTTATCTAGTGTTCTTCTAAAAGTAAAAAAGTTACAAGATCACAATGAAGCCATCCAATTAACTTTTTCTATTTATCATTCTCTCCTTTTCATTTCAAACAATAAACAAACTTTTCATTCATATCTAAAATTTAGAAAAATATTACCAAGAGCCAAAAGGCCCCTCTCTCCTAAATCAATAATACCATAAGAATTCAATTTTAATCGTCATTTCCTTTATCACATGCTTCATAACTTGAAGTTTAGATATCATATTTAGGTTAAAGATAGTTTTGGCCCCTCAACTTTAATTCATTTTCTATTTTGGTTTTTGAACTTTTAAAATTTAATTTCTCAAACTTATACACATTTTCCATTTTGATAGTTTTAACAAATTTCAGTTATAGATCTGCAACTTTCTTTGAACACACATTAGTCCCTACCATAAAAATGATGGTCAACAAATGACGTGAAGAACTAATGATGAAGAATTTTAATTAACACATTATCATTAATTTAGATAAAGACTTTTATGGCAACGTCTCATATCAACAATAGGACTGAGAACTAGAAACAGATCCACGACAATATCAAAAATTTAAAGGAAATGGTATGAATCCATGAAGAACTCCAAGAAAAAGAAAATGCCAAAGACAATCCAAGTCAATTGCTATTAGCTATGAAGCTCAAGTCCTGAATATTTCATAGGGACAAGAATTGGGAAGTCTGCAGTTCAACAAACCATGTTGACAAACAAAGCAACTACCTCCAACTCTAAATAAGTATCTATCAAATTTTGAAGGAAGAAAATACACAATAGTTATGCAGACACTGAAGTGCTGGGCATGAATTCTACCAAAGATAAACTAACAAATATAGGTAGAGTATATCTTGTGGCATGTAAATCTGTATGTAAAAATGAACGGTTGCAATCAACCATAATTGCTATAAAACTGCTTTGCAGCAAATGAAATAACAATAAGTAACTGACCTGCTTGCCCCATTCGAACGCTTGATCAACCAAGTAAGAATACTCCAAATCCTCAAAACACTTTTGCAACGAAGATAGTGGCTCATTAAAGTAAACAGGTAGACATACTCCAGATAAGTCCTTTCCAATATTATCTTTGATAATCGACCACAAGCCAACAGGCTTCTCTTTCTCCTTCGGGTCTGGAAGGCTGTCCCTTCTTTTGACATATGGATATTTCACCATCCTTATCTGATTCTCAGCTTCACACAGATGGTCAGAGAAGTAAAAACCACTATCGTATGCACAAGCAATTCCTGAGGATTCCCTACTCCTGTAGGAGGCACTTCTCAGAGCTTCTGCAGATAGAAAATCCTTGGTATCGAAATACATTCCATCATCTTCATCTGTTTCAACGTCACCTCCATCTTGACTCTCATTTTCTGCATCAAAATCAGATGCACTTCCCTCCGACATAACAGAATAGAAATCTGAAACAAGGGAGGAAAATTAGCAAAATATCAGACCATAAGAAATGGACAACTCACCAACTTTGGACCTAGAGGAGAGATTTGGAAAACATGCAATTTAAATTTCTCCTCTAGCTACAGTAAGAAAAGAACTACAATTACCGACTCATCGCTGAGATTTATCGGCTCATTTCTATCAAAAAATAAGCACACTTTGAATATTTGAACTTCATCATATCTATACTGCAGGGTTCAAGAATCTGGTCTGGTTGGTTTTAAGAATATTAGCCAATCGAAAAGCTCAAGAATTACTAACCACTGAATCGTCTATTCTGTCCGCAGCAAGACTCCCGTTCCTTTGTTTCATCCACAACAGTAGTTTCCAGTTCTATTTTCTCTGTCTGTAGAACAATTTTAGCTATTATGTCTTCAAAATAAGTTAAGTTCTCAGATTCCAATTGGTAAACATATTTCCAAAATTGTGTGAGGTGTGAAATGAGCATGTGCGTTAGTGGAAATAAAAAGGTACGTGCAGGAAATTTTGAAAATAAAAATTAAAAACATGAATGATGGAAACCATACATTAAGAAGAATCGGAGAACCTGTCAAAAACTCAACGGATACGTATTATATCGTTACACTCATTTCCAATTGTGAATTTGCGAGGATTGCCTATATTTAGTATTTCATGGGCTTCTTGAAGTGTAGAAATTCTTAGTGGTTTTACTTTTAACCAGTTTGGTTACATTTTAGTGGATATCTTTACTGCATATAATTAGGCATCAATAAAGTTCAATACTTATTTCTTTTGGTTGCAAATATTCTATATTATGAATAAAAGGTACTTGGCCCTAGTTTAACATCACTACCAAATATCCAATAGAACATAGACAAGTTTTAATACCCCCAACATATTAATCTTATCCAAAATCTGGGCTTGTTCTTTTTTTATGACAATTCAATGTATCAGGTAAAAGAGTAGTTGATGAATGAAGAATAGAGGAAATACCTCCAAGCGCCTCAATGTTTCTAATAGAGCAACATGCTTGTATTGGAGAGATTTCAACTGGTTTTGCATCTCAGAGAGTTCAGAGAGCATGATAGATTCACAGTCATTGATGACTGTCTCATCAATCCCTTCCTGTGATAATCGTGAACGAAGCTTCTCTGTCGAAACAACCACCTCCTGGGATGGAAGAAAATCACTGCTGCTCAACACTCTAGGGAAAAGATCCTTGGCAGACAGCAAAGCATCAATCCACGCAGCTCTGTTTTCCTTCGATATGCACCGCAAGTGAAGAGTTTTTGTTCCAGTGAAAATAGAAAGTCTTTTATCATCTGATTTACTAGCACGAACTGAAGAAACCTGCAAAATAGGCTAGGTTAGGAGTAGCAAATCACGAAAGAAAGTTAAATGGGGGAGAAAGACAACGAACAAGAGCAAGGGCAGGGAACTCTGTGTTTTTTCTTCCCAAATGAACACTGGCTCAAAATAAGACGATTAGCCCTCAAGAGGAGACGCTATATGGCAATTAAATACTAAATTCCCAGGCAGGAAGACAAGAAATGTCAGAGAGTATTGTAAGAGAATTTTGACCTGGGTATAGCTGGAACTTTTCTTTTATGAATAAGAGATGGAAATTTATCAGAAACGTTAACGAAGTAGTGCGAAAACAAGAGTTCGAGGCTGCCGCCCCAAGGTCCGCGTGAAGCACGGAAGATTATAACATGCAAAACCAAGCTCGTATATGTTATTATAATTCGCCAATTGAGACGCGTAAGTTGACACATGCATTTTCTTGGTTAACACCACCGTCATGGGCGTCCAATCAAGCAAAACAACAACTTAAACGCTAAAAGTAATTCAGAGTCGAAAAGAAAAATGTATCCCATTCATATTCCCGCATACATTCAACAACCCAACCCCGTAGTGAATCATATTTTTTAATACAAAACAGCACCCACCTTCAAATGAACTTCTCCGAAAGGTTTGCATTGCTTCTTCAAGAGCCCGAGTCGTGCGCTTCCCCCCCAATTAGCTTTCCTCATATACCTCAAAGAATCCTCTCCGATCACCCTAACATCCTTCTCTCTAGCAGGGCTGGTCAGAATTTTATCGGGGCCGTGAATCTTGTAGTAAGAAAGCACCCCATCTTCCAGCACGAACCATCTGGACCTCCAACCCCTCCCATAGTTCACCCACTTGTACAAAATCCCAGCAACGGTGCCACTGACAGCACCATTGGGCGCAAGTAGCTTGGAATCCCGAGCTTCAGTAACCGAGTCTTCCAGCTCAGGGTTGACAGAGACAGAAACCTTGTCCGATTCGGTCCCAACCGAGGAGACCTGAGCGGAAAAGGTGGGTTTGGAGCCGTAGCCCAAGGTCTTAATAGGAGCATCGAGCCCTAGCTGACAGTGAGAAGGGGATTTGGCAACAACCGGATTAGCCCGGTCCCGATCAATAGAAACGGGAGCAATGCAGCAGAGAGGATTCATCTGAGGGCAAGACGAAGCAGAAAACGAAAGAAGACCCAACACACAGCATGGATCACGGAGACATAAGAAGCAAAGAAGAGCGAAGAAAGGAATGTGGGAGGCGATCGGAGGAGAGAAAGCCTGGGAAAGCGGAAGGATTCAGAAATGACATACAGAAGAAGAAGAGTTGAGATCTGGTGAATGAGAAGGGGGAGGAGTTATGAGGAGAGCAGGACCATTAAATGGGGCAGTGGGGGGAGGAGTAAATTCAGGGAATTGCAGCGCAGCGCATGTTAAGCAAAAGCATGGACTGAGAGGACTGTGGGAGGAGCTGGGATTTGGGATTTGGGATTTGGGATTTGGGATTTGAGATTTGAGATTTGAGATTAATTAAATGGAATGCAGAGATTATAAAGAGGGATTGATTTGGATTTGGATTTGGATTTGGAATTGGAATTGGAATTGGAATTGGAAGTGAGTGTTGAGTGGAGACAGCTAACGTGCGCATAATGGCCAGGTAGTGATTGGGGTTTGGGGGTGGGGAAGGGGGTGTCCGTTGGGTGAGGAAAATCGCCTTTTTATGTTTTTTTGGAATTATACCCCTTTTCTCTCTCCTCTCTCATTATTTTTTTATTTTGATTTTTAGCACAAACTAGGGCCTTTTCTGTCATTTCATACCCTCATACCTTCCATCGGGATCCTATGGGCCTATGGCACCTCCGCCGTAAACCATCGCCGCCTCCGCCCAGGGAAAGTGACCTTTCCCTCCTTTCATTGGTGCAAAATTAATCCCTACAGCTTTTTAAACTTTAAAATATATAATATCTAATAACAAAAAAAAATTGAATGGTTGAATAATCTATTAAACTCAAAATTAAATTTCAATGCTGAAATATAACCAACTAGACTTAGTAATTTAAGTTTCATTGAGTTTTAATTTAGTTATTTTAACTCTTCGTTTTAATCTACCAGTGCTTATCATGCTTTTAAACAAATTGGTAAGTAACTTCAAGTACATGTTGGGGTCACATAAGTTGGTGAAGGTAATTGAAGTAAAACAGAAAGTTTAAAGACAAAATAGAATAAATTTGAAAGTTTTAGAACAACAATTAAAATTTACAATTTTTCTCCTTCTTATTGTTTTTTCTTTCCCGCTATCCTTATTCACCTAATTTTCTAAAATCTATTCCATTGTGCCACAAAATTATTCATCTTCTTATAACATTCCAACAACAAAAAGAAAATATATCGAAAATGAATCTAAAGACTATTGATATTTTCACTAAATATTTTTGTATGGACTATTTTAATATAATTAAACTAGTTAAAATATTAATAACACTTCTTCTTTATAACTTGAAAGTCCTATTCTTAATTTTCACACTTGCAGTGTTATATTCTTTAAAATGAAGTAAAAAACACTGAAAAATATTGAGGAACGATATATGTCATATCATCTCTCGGGTGTTGGTGCAATGACAAGAGGCTTGGGTGTTGACATTCAATATCCAAGTTGGAACTCTCCTATGTACGAAAGTAAAAGAAAAAACGATATATGTCATATCCAATCTTTAATAAGTTGATGTTATATGTGATGATGAAAAATATCGATGTGTCAAAAGTTACGTGGGGAGTTATTCTCCCGAAACCAAACCAACAAAATAAAAAGAGGAAAAAAAATCACAAGACGGGTGAGTTTATTCTATAAATAGTTAAGCAACATTGGTCATTCATCAATGGCGATGTCCCATTAATTTTGACAACCTTTGGTGATGGTAGTTATTGGAAAGACAACCTTTTGATACATTGCTTCGATTTTTGTAAAGTTTTATTCCTAAATTACCAATAACCCCATTTTGAATATAAACAAACCCAACCAATTACAAAAAGTGTCGTCAATCTCAATTTAACTAAGATTTTTAAAAAACGTGGTTCAAAATTTAATATTATTTTAATTCTTTTTTTTTTTTTGTCATATGTAACTTCCATCATTTTGATTAACGTAATTTCAACTTTTATTTATTTTAGTCGTTTTGTTTTTAAACGTCTGTTTTTATCATTGAACTTTGAAAAAGTCAAATTAGTCTATACTTATAGAATTTTAACATAAATCGTATACACGACGTTAACCATTTAATATAAATTCATGACTATGTTTCAAGAAATTTAGTGCGTGAACTATCATATTAAAACTATAGTTAGAAAGTAATAAGATAAAATGAAAATTAAAATACTAAAATGATCACGTTTTATAAGTGTGGGACCAAGATAGACGTTTTGAATGTATATTAAGCAAAATAAACTAAAATCAAAACTACGGGACTATAATAGTATTTAAATAATAAATATATATACAGTGTACAATAAAGTGTATATAAATCATAAAGTAAGTCATTCCATACAAATTTTGAGAAAAATCCTTGACATAAAGTTGATAGGTTATTAAATTGTTGTTTTATTAATATATTTAACACGTGAGTATATTAATCTGAAGAAATTAATTTATGGTAGAGATTTGAACTCATGACATTTTAGTCATTGGTAGGTACTTTAACTAATTGCTAAATTTATCGTCGACGTGTCGAGTAGCGTTTGAATGATACGTCCATGTATTCCAACATATTAATATAATAAAAATTATATCAATTATTTATTTTTTATTATTAAAAAAGCTACTATACCAAAGCGAGCTCAACATTAATTGCTATATATCTTCAATCAAAGAGGTTGTGACTTTGATCCCCACCCCACATATTTATTGTGTTTTTTTTAGATGACAATGGTTCTAAAAAATCTTTAAAATGAGTAATCTTTAGAAGATAGTATTGTTTATTAAAAATGATCGAATTGAGTTGTGAATTCTCAAACACAAACAAATTATTAAAATGTCAAACCGAGCAACTCAAGTGGTTAAGACATCTATCTTTGACCAAGAGGTCATGAGTTCGAATCCCTACCCCACATGTTGTATAAAAAAAACAAATTATTAAAATAATATCATATTTTTATGCCAAGTTGAACGTAACTCAATTGATTAAGATATATTTGGTCGAAATGTAATGAGATGAATTTGATCTATCACTTAATTAATAGTTATATAAATTCAACTCCAACATTTGTTAATAACGATATCCATCACTGAAGAACAATAATGTGAGTGTTGGTTTCCAAAAAAGTTTGATTGTAAAAATAAAAATTATCACTGGACGAAATTTTCGTGATTTTGAAGTAAAATGTATGGATTTATTTTATTTTATTTCATTTTTTATTAATATTTTATTTCATCTGTTTGCTTTGTGTTTGATAAGAATCTCCTCCTGCAAGGGAGATATCAATGCTGCCTTTATTTTGTTGAAATTACGATCGTAACGTTAACATTTGCTTCGGGCGAGCAAGTCGAGAGGCTAAAATAGTAATTTAAGGAGCCATTCAGAAGCTATTTTCAAAAAATGGAAACATAATTCAAATAAATATTTTGTGAAAAAACTATTTTTTAAAGTCGTTTTTTTAGTTTGCTTTATAATCAAGGTTGTTAGTTATTTCCAATTTACACGGAAAGTATGTTGTGAATGGTTATTTCAATTATCAAGCTGCCGATAATATTAATATTTACATAATACTAATAACAATAATTGTCGGGTGAACTTGCAACCTCTCACTAACATCTGGTGTCGGGTTAACTTGAGCTCCTCTAAATGAAGAGAAAAATATACACAAGTCTCTACAAGAAGATCCCATGTTGTTTTTTGACAGGCATAGAATGAGGCGTGCATAGTAGAAAGATCGCTGACATTTAGTAGATGTTTCATCCTGCAATGATAGTGGATCTTGGAAGTCGGTGCATAATTATGTTTCTAGGCGTATGATCCTAATATCTCAAGGCAACGTACTTCCAAATTACTCTTTGATAAAAAGAAGAGCTATAACATTTCTCAACTTGTGCAATTTCTTGCACCAACAGTACTCAAGCTCTCATACTATCTCATGTGAACCAAGTCTAACTTAAGGTGTGTTTGAGAGCGATGATAAAACGAGTGATTTTGAAAAAATAGATTTAAGTATAATTGTTTTTTCATAACCACCGTCAAAGTGATACATTCAAAATCAATTTAAAATGAATTTAAACTTTCTTAAAATCAATTTTTATTTGTTCAAATATGATCAATGGAAAGGGAAGTAATTTTGACAATTCAAAAAATGATTTTGGTTACCAAACACACATTTAAGTTTCGAAGTGCGTTAAGTAGTTGAGTTTGGTTCTACAAATTACATACTACTCGAAGCTTCCCACACATCACTCTCCGACATATACGTAAGTAGACCGGATTTTGGCATCAACAATAATAATAATAATATTATTATTATTTAATAATAATAATATAAATACTTAGAAGCTACTTAATTGTTTCTGAAAAAGAGAGTTTTTAAATCAAAAGAAAAAAATTGTCATTCCAAATAAACACTTGTTTGGAATAATTTTAAAAACTAGTTTTTATGAACTACAATAGATCAATCGTAAAATATTAAGGTCATTGTAACGGCATAGCCGTTCTTGTAAACTTAAAACTTAAAAGGACAACAACTATAATTGTTAAAATAAATAATAAAAATAAAAATCGAACATATATACTGGTCTGGTTTTTTCTTCCTTAAAAATAAATGTTTTTTAGAAGGACAATCATTTCTTCAAAAAACTAATAATAAAACGTTCAATAAAGGGTAGAATAGGAATTTCAACGCATTCATTCATGTTAAAATTTTATGTCATTGAACTAAATTCATTACTAAATTTACCCGAGACGTCCAAATAGATCTTATTGCCACACACGATTTACTAAATGGTAATATAACTTAGAATTGTCGAAAGTCTTTCGACCCATTAAGGAATAATTTTACTTTGTATATTCTTTAAACAATTTACCATTTTTTTCCTCATTTTGAAAAAATCAACTTACTTGCATCAATCAATATAAATTTTGGGTAACATTTGTCTTTTTAAGTTTTCATCACTCTTGAAATCGAAAAGATAAATGTTTTCATTATTAATTTTTTTCTTAGCATATAACTTGTAAAGATCAATCAACTCAACTCATTTAAAAATGTTATTTTTTTTTGTCAAAACGAATATAGCTCGACGATAATTGACATACCGATGACAAGTTAAAAAAAAAAAATCACTTTTTCCTTTATTTTCCTTTGAAACTATTTACTCAAGCTTTTAATGCCAAGAATACCCTTGGCAAACCAAATATTGGCCCCCAGATCAATGCTTTCAAACAAGCACTAAAAGTGTTGGAGCATGTTTGAGAGCCGTACTTTGGCTTGGGATGCCATTTTTAAAAATTACTCCTATATCATTACTATTTTATATAAAAGTAATTTTGACTCGGCAAGGATAAAAATTACTTCTAAACATGTCGTAATATTTTACAATAATATAGAAATTATATTAGAAAATGACAATGCTAAAAAACATGTCTTTAATTTACATTAGTAAAGTCTATTTAATGAATAAAGATTAAAATATTATTTTGGTCACCGAATATTTTGAAAGTATGGAGACTAAGATAAATCAAAGTTGAGGTATAAGAACTAGAATTGATATCGAACCATTTAAATACAAAAACAATATAAATTTTGTCAAAGTGAGTCTAACTCAACGGTAATTGACATATATCTCCAACTATGAGGTTGTGAGTTCGATCTCCCACCTCCACATGTTGTACTAAAAAAAATATATAAATTTTGCACTTTCATCACATAAATTTAAGTTTAATCAATACATGATCATTAAATATTATTTGTAATTATGCGGTAGGTATTGATAAAATGTTAACTAATTAACTTTAAATAAAAACCAGGGTACCAAAGACCAAATGTAAATCGCTAAAAAGTACTCCACCATTTCAAATGGTACATAAAGTCTATGAATGTTTAAAAAAATTTGGAAATTTGATGGTTCCAACACGCAACCAAGCAACATAGAGGGGACAAAAAAACATTTACCAATTTAATTTTTTGTTAAAATAATATTTTAGTCAATGTATTTTCAATATTGATTCATTTTAGTCTCAGTATTTTTAAAATATTTATTTTATCCATATATTTTTAATTTAATTGATTTTTAATCGTTGTACCTTTAATTTTGGTTCATTTTAGTCAATGTACATTTAAAAGATATCATTTTCGTCTATCTTTATAAAATTTTAATATAATTCTATACGTCAAAGCGACCATAGTTCAGCGGTAATTTACATATACTTTCAAGATACTGTACTAAAAAAACATAATTATACACCCGACGAAAATATTTTTATATAAAATATATAATGTTGAAATTATGATAAAAAATGAGATTAAAAGTAAAATTAAAAGACTAATGATCTCTTTTTAAAAACATAGAGAACTAGAATAAATGTTTTGAAAAGACAGAGATTAAATGAATAAGTTGAAAGTATTAAGACTCAAATGAAGATTTTGAGAAAGTAGAAAAATTAGAATGAATTAAAATTGAGGATCAAAATAATATTTTAATTCACAATTTTTTTCATTAAAAAATTGAGGCGAATACGATCGTACTGGGGGAGGGCCTTTGGGCCTGTGGATCTCGAGTGTTGAGTTAGGATGGCCCCGCAAGTACCACGATGTAATCGGACGGCTGTGGAAGCTCCATCCAGGGTGGCAATCGAACGGTGGTAAATGGGAGAATGGCATATATACTTTCTGACAAAATCGTCCGCTCCAAAAAGCAAAAGCCCCAACCCCCAAACCCACAGGTCGGCCAGTGATTTTTTTTTTTTTTTTGTTTGATTGCGAAGAAAAGCATCGGCGACGGGCACGCAAACTCATACACAGATGATTATGGAGTTTGTTGCAGTTTCTCGATTCACTAATTCCCCTTGAGATAGAAAAAGGGAAAAAGAAATGGCTGGTGCTATCATCAATTGCAAGTTTTCAAGCTGTGCGTTGAGTTGCTGCTTTCGCTTGCGATCCAAGTCTGCGACTTCTCCGTCAACGTCTTCTTCTTCTTCTTCCTCTCTTCTGGCGCGCTTATCCAAGCGCCCTTGATGACCATGATCCTCTGCCTTGAACTTTTTTTCGGATCTCAGTTGCAGGTCCACTCCCCACAGCCAGAATCTCAATATTACCGTCAACAACAACCAGCATCGCGATATTCTCCCTTTTCCGCATGGACCCCGCTGCCTCTCGCCCCGCTGTAGTTATCGACAATGGCACCGGGTATCCTTTACCATTCTATCTACTCTTTCGATTCAGGAATTTGCATGACTCCGGCTCCGGGGCTAATGGGCTAATAGTTGTTCGACGAAATGCCCAATACGAATTTCGATTCTTAGTTTCATTTTTGTCGGTGTTTCTAATCCGCCTTCATAGACGTCCGTAGAGCGCCGCTTGTTTTGTTAGACTATCTAATGCAGCCTTTTCTGACTTTTTGTTGTTCTTATTGTTTCGTTTCAGATATACTAAAATGGGGTTCGCCGGCAATGTAGAGCCGTGTTTTATTGTTCCTAGTGTAGTGGCAGTTAACGAGTCGTTCTTAAATCAATCGAGAAGCTCGTCGAAAGCAAATTGGCTTGCGCAGCATAATGCCGGTGTAATGGCAGATCTCGATTTCTTCATTGGAGATGAGGCGCTTACGAAGTCGAGATCTAGTAGTACTTATAACCTTAGCTATCCAATTCGAAATGGTCAGGTTTACAATTGGGATGCCATGGAGCGGTTTTGGCAGCAATGTATATTCAATTATTTGCGGTGTGATCCGGAGGATCATTATTTTCTTCTAACCGAGAGCCCCCTTACTGCACCCGAGAGCCGCGAGTATACGGGTGAAATAATGTTTGAGACATTCAATGTTCCGGGGCTTTATATTGCTGTCAATTCCGTGCTTGCTCTTGCCGCTGGATATACGACATCTAAGGTTGGTGTGTAATTTGAAGGCAATTTTAAATCTGCATGGACGCAATTTCCTGGGACTTATAGTGTTCTTGATTTAAGAGGATTAAAATTACAAATTTTGCAATTCTTAAGTTAATGCTCTTCACGGATATGTTGGATTTTATATATCCTGTACTGACTAAGTAGATTCCGTTAAACATTTGGGTATTGGTTACAATGGCAATTGTCTATTTCTTCTTTTATTTACAGCTCCTTATTGATTTAGTAAAGCTTAACCCTGCCGTATCTAAAATAAAAACTTCTCTCTATTTTTCCGCATGGACTTATTTCTCTTCTTGCTTGTCATAATATAATATATTATATATATATATATATATGTATGTATGTATACTTTTACTATCATTCCCTTCGGAACTGCTAAAAATACGAGCGTCCTTGAGTTGGTGCTGTGAATAGCTTACAATATAGTGTGAAAATGCAGTGCCCAAAAAAGTTGAGATTTGTGAAGCTGCCAATCACGACCCAACAACTTTTTTTTTTGGATAGGAGGACCAACAGCTTCATTATTCTTTACCATTCAATTGTGATTAATGTGTCAAGATTAAACCAAATGACCTGAATTCAAAGCAGTTCTGTTTTAAGCAATCTTGTTGCAGAAATTTTTTAGACATCAATAAGATATGAGAAAATTATACAAAAACATCAGTATACGTGATAATTTTGAGAAGTATTCAAAGATCCAAATCTTTGGGAGTTGAATTCTTCTTATCAGCTATCAGAAATTTGAAGAGAGAGTTTCATTTTCTTCATTCAGTAACTCATAACTCTTCTACTTCTTGTATTTTGGAAGATAATGGCTAGTTTTTGGGTATCACAATCAGTCAGGTGTAGGATGGAGTTCATTTTCTTGTATTATTAAAATGTCCTACTGTCATGCTCAAAGAGATAATAATTAAGCCACTTCACAATTAAAGAAGGAGAAGGCAGTATCTATTCACACATCACTCAGTACATGTTTGAAGACCCATTGTTTCTAGTTCTATGTATTATTTCTGTCATTAACATCTTTTTTAAAAATCAATATAGTTGTCATCATCTCTCATTGCTAATATTATTAAACGTGTCTGTCTATTACTTGAAAATGAATTGAATTGACAAGTAGCTTGTGTTAGTGTGAGATGACAGGGGTTGTAGTGGATGTTGGAGATGGGGCTACCCATGTTGTGCCTGTTGCAGATGGCTATGTTATTGGGAGCAGTATTAAGTCTGTTCCCATTGCTGGTAAAGACGTGACTCTCTTTGTCCAGGAGCTCATGAAGGTAGGTTGCCTCTAGTTCTCTCTTTCTCTCTCTATCTCTCTCTATTTTTGGGTTGAAGAATTATATTTTGCTTGTTTGGAGGTAATGTGGTGCTATAGGTGAAACACTGCTCATGTCAATTGCTACTGCCTAATCTATGTATCATTGCCACTAGTTGTTTGTTACTGGAAAGTTGTAAGAATATGGAACTGTGAGAGGATTGTCCTTTTCATTATTTGTTCCTCAAGTTTGATAGTGTCAAATAACTAACCTGCATTATCTGAATTTGATTCTCTGTTTGCAACATCAACGTTCTTGGAAATTGTGAGGGATTTTCTTTAGAGTGGCGTTGATGCTCCAATATCCATGGTTGACTGTTGCATTACGTTGCCAAGTTTCCTTGTTTAGTAATGAAGAATGCCATCAGGTGGCCCTGTCTTTGTATCCGGTGAATATGTAGTGGCCTCTATAAAAAAGTAACGTTTAGATAAGAATGAGATAACCTGTATTTTTCTGTGATGTTCTGCTATATTTTTTTAGTAGAATTTAAATTTGTGCTCCATATCTAATGTTGTTCTTGAAATATTGATATCAAAAGCTACCAAAATTGAGGATATACAAGCATTGGTTATTTTTTCTCATTCATGTTAATTTATAGAATGAGCTGTTGCCTATTGATGTGCTCACAAACTCTTGCAATTACTATTGTTTCATTTAGGAAAGAGGAGAGAATATACCACCGGAGGACTCTTTTGAAGTGGCCCGAAAAGTGAAGGAAATGTATTGCTATACCTGCTCTGACATTGTCAAGGTTGGCACTTTATTATACTTATTTGATAAGTATGGGTAGAAATCAAAGTAGCACCTTTTTAAGACTTATTTCAATTACAACTTGATTGAAATTAGACTAGTTACTTCTCAACCGATTCTGCTATATCTTGGGTACTTTGTCATTATTCCTCTGCTGATGATTTAATGAGGTAAGTTTGTGTCTTGTTGATTTCAGGAGTTCAATAAGCATGATAAAGAGCCAGGCAAGTATATAAAGCAATGGAAGGGCATTAAACCTAAGACGGGTGCACCATACTCTTGTGATATTGGCTATGAACGGTTTCTTGGTCCTGAGGTTTGCTTTTAGCTTTTGTCATCACAATGAATTTCATACTTGTAATCTTAATTGAGTACTTGAATTAGGCTACGATGATTACAGAAATATTGTTATTATGTAGTTCACTTTGAAATTCTGATTCTTGTCTCTAGTAGTGCTGAACTATTTTGGTGATTTTGATGATCTACAGGTGTTCTTCAATCCTGAAATATATAGCAGTGATTTTACCACCCCCTTGCCTGCTGTAATAGACAGGTGTATACAGTCTGCACCAATTGATACCAGAAGGGCATTGTACAAGGTGAAGTAGCCTGGTTAAACTATCAATTTTGATTAATGATGAAACAATCCATCTGAAGATATTAGTCATTTCAGACCAGGAAATCTATTGAATGTCCTTACCCGCGTGCGCGCGTTCTATGAAGACATATTGAATCTTTCCGTTTGCTCCTCTGTTTTCTTCCATCTTTTAACCATTTACTTTATGTCCAGATTTTTTTTTTTTTCCTTTGGTACTTTTCAATTATTACTCTTGAGATTGACTTCATTTGAATTGCACGTAGACATATATAATGACTTTTTTTCATTGCAGTAATCATTCTTCTTTGCTAAAGCCTACTTTTCTATTGATTACTTTAGAATATAGTACTATCGGGAGGTTCAACAATGTTTAAGGACTTCCATAGAAGGTTACAAAGGGACTTGAAGAAGATTGTGGATGCCCGGATTCAAGCTTCTGAAGCGAGAATAGTAGGGGAAGTAAAGGTGAGAATTGCTATATGGCCATTATTTTGATATGCTTAATATTATAGGTTTTTTAACTTAACCCACAGAAGAAATTACTTTCCAATTAACTTATAATTTTGGTTCCTTTTTCAGTCGCATCCGGTGGAAGTCAATGTTGTTAGCCATCCCATCCAGAGATTTGCAGTCTGGTTTGGAGGCTCTGTTCTTGCATCAACTCCGGAGTTTTTTGCGGTATGTATGCTATCTTTATATGAAGGCACCATATGCCAATTACAATCCTTTCAGGAAAGGATATCAACCGCATCCCTGTTAGGTGTTTATTTTTTCTGGTGGGTTGGGAAGGGGACGCTTCATATCTCTTAACGAGTCTGTCCGTTTGAGCAGTCTGTCAGAAATGGTAGTTAACCCTCTTGATGATAGTTCTTTGACATGAGAGCTACCCGCTAGAAGTTGCAGTCGGATCTATTCGTTAAAAGAATCGATTCTATATATTTTTTTATGTACTCATAGGTGTTATGATTTGAAGGGACAAATAGGAATTTTCTCTATATGATTTCATGAGGTCATAAAATAAGACCGGAAAGAATCCAACAGTATGCTTAGAATGGAGTTCATTGGAGAATGAACTCCAAGAAGGTACCTCGCATTTTCCCCTCCACCTTGAATTGTTCCAGTGAGTTCATTCCTATTAAATTTTGAATGGAAATAAAAGATAGAGAGGGAGGGAGGAAGGGGTTCAACATGCTTGGAGAGCCTATCGATAATTTGGACCTCAGATGCTTCCACAACGTTCTCCTAATCATAGAACCATCCGCCAAATGCAGCCCGACATACCCAATGTTAGAAATCGCTGCTGAGACACTGAGTTCACGAAATTTTGTAATCTACGAACTTATTATGTTGTCTTTTGGTGCAGGCTTGTCATACAAAAGCAGAGTACGAGGAGCATGGTGCAAGCATATGCCGTACTAATCCGGTTTTCAAAGGAATGTACTGATGCAAAGATCCTTGAGTTTTGGGCTTCGGTAATTGCGATCAGATGCTTTGGTGTTTGTCGTTGAACATGCACCTTGGCTCGGCTCGGCTCGGCTCGATTCAATTCGTGATTCCGCTTCCCAACCTTTGGTAGGTGTCTGGGTGGTGTAAAATATGATGATTTTCTGTATAATTTGTACGAAATACGGTTCATTACTTCAATTCTTTCATTGGGGGCCAGGTTTTCTGAAATTAGCAATTGGTCCAGATTTAGCTTTCTCATGTAGATGGGCGTTGAGGAATCCTATAAGAATCATCAGCATTTCAGTGAATATTAGATAAGCTGAATTGCATGTTTTTTGGCGTTCAGCTTAGGTGAGAGTTTCGGAAAGAATTTTATTTCCTTTTTGTTGTCTTATGATCGATTACTACAAAAACTTAATACATTTCAAATGTTCATTAATCGTAGCTGCTAATCTTTACTTGGTTTGAAGTTTTTTTGTAAGAACTTCAATATATCCTTCAATTTTCAAATGGTTACTTGCACTTGCTACATAATTAATCTATCTTTTTGGAAACTTTAACATCTATTTTACAGTAAGTTGAAAGAGATGGATGTTATAGAAATTAACAAAATATACATGATAATTAAAATATAATGTTTAATAGTTTAATCCATTTTCATTATGAAAGTTAAGTACTTTCTTTTTTGCACTTTTGCCAATCCCTTTTCTAACTTTTCTTTATTTTTTTTATTTTTAGTATATAATTAAAATAAATTAATGTATTCTTTATAAATAATCCTATTCAATTAAGTATATTTATATATAAAATAAACTTCAATGTAGTAATAATAATAATAATAATAATAAATTGTTTCAATTTATTTGCTTTCTAAATATTTTTAAAATTGATATTAATTATTTATGTAAAAAAATTCTATAGAAACCAATACTATTTCCTTCAATTTCCCACCTAATTTGATAACGTAAAAATATAATACAATAAAATTTTTATAATTTTTTTTGACAAGAAATGTCATTAATTACATAATCTTTGATCTTTTGAAAAAAAGTCCAAATTAAAATTGAAATTAATGGTCAATATTAAAATTTTCATAAAACTCTCAAATTAATATAAATTAATGCGTTCTACAAAAATAACATTAAAAATTAATATAAACTAAATTGATAAAAAATATTAAATTAATAAAAACATAAAAAGTCAATCCACAAATAACATGAATATATATATATTTTGAAACAATAGATGACATGAATATCAATTAGATTTTCCTGGAACAATATATAATTTTTAGATATCGTACCAATCCTACGAAACAAACATTAACATTTTTTTTATATCCGTGTGTCCGGGCCAGTCGCGCACCTCAATTAATCACGGGCCAACTGCTTGACCCTATTACATTTGGTTGACAAGGTAACTCGTAGGATATTAAATCCTAACCTATGAAACAAACATAGTTATTCAAATATTTCAAAACATCATTATATGTTTTCCTATAAAATAAACACATATATATGAAGATGTGGTATATTTATATTTCCAAACATCTAAAATCTATAGAAACAAATGACCCTTGAGACTTAAAATGTAAAATAATAAAATTTTAATACATGTACATTTAAGAGCAAAGGTTTCATTAGTTTATATGTAGCTCTTATTTTTTTTAAAAAAATTCATATACAACTTATTTTTATTTTTTTTATACTAAAATTTACTTGTTTCCAATTAGACATCCTTTGTAGTTCTCAGAAAGATTTAAACGGTTTTGAAAGCTGACGTATAATTGATTTTTTTAAGATAAAAAGGTGTTTTTATTTTATTTTAAATAAAGATCTTCTTTTTTGAACTAACAACGGCAAAGTTTGATGGGTATTTACCGTAATTTTTTCAAAAAATATTATGGAACTATTGAGATCTGAAACGAAGATTCCCACAACACTAACTACAGAGAAGATCGGACCGGCGGACTCTACAATTTAATTTTACACCACCGGCATCCTTGGGATCTATGGCGGCCATGGCATGGATGCCGATCTATGGCGGCCATGGCACTCAGCTCGCACAATTGATTTTGCCCTTCCTTCCTCTCATTGTCATTGGTAATATGTTATTGACATTGTTTTCATTCAATTTCTTTTGATATTGCCTTGGATATCTTTCTTACAAGTTCTTGATGAATTTTCCTTTTGTATTACTTGTTTTTAAGATCTTAATCCTCTGTTGTGAACTCGAGGTTACTTACCGAAAAGATTTCCTGTTTTGTTGCTATCAATGCCCGTCATGTAAAAGAACCAGAAATCAAATCCTCCATACGCTACTCCATCTGATGCTTTCACAGAATGTAAAAAGACTGAACAGCTTAAAACCTACAAAGAACAAGCATGCCCATCCATCCATTTCCCATCCAAATATCAACAACCAACCAGAACCATTCTTCACATTTTTTTGAGTTCTTTTTTTTTTCCCTATTTACAAATTAATAATTTCATAAGGCAATTCTAAGCATCAAAATGCAATGCCATAACATTAGCATACTTTGGACATCAATGAAGTTGTGTTTGCTGAGAAAAGTTACTGACTTCTTTCCTTTTGGTTAATTTAGATCAATGTCGACTCGCTCTGGATTTCCCCTTTCGGTTTGATTCGCCAGAAGTTCAACCCCGAGCTGCCCTTTGTCTCCAGCACCAAATGCATACAACTTCCCTGACTCAGTCAGCGCAAAGGTGTGTGCATTCCAGTAAATCGAATTAGTCAGGCTAATCTGAACTACTCGCTCGTTAATTTGCTTCAGGGACCTTACAAGTTCTGGGCTTAAAACGTGCGGGTGCCGATTCCCCTGTACAAAACCCATCAAAACATTGGTCACTAATCAGAATTCAACAGATCATGTAGCTAATTAAACAAGAATATATGTGTATTGGTGTGAGAAAAGCAATATAAATCCTGTTGAAAAAATCAATAGTTGTCTTGCTGATTTGCTAGTTGAGAATCAAGTACATTATGCATGAAAGAGTCAAAATGAAAGAAGCGTGGCACAAAAAACATTCGAGATATGACCCGTCTCGAGTTATTGATAGATTTTGATATTGCGAAAACATGGAACTGAGTAGCATGTACATGATGTGAAGAGGATTATCAAGTCCTATAGAGGACCACCTGTTTTTAGATAGGATATGTTTACTTGTTGATGCTATGAAATCAATTGATCAAGACAAAAAGATAAACCCTAGACTAATTATACGATAACTCCAATGATCTAATTGTTGAATCAGTTGAGACTTATAATAATTCTTCGAAGAAAAAAAAGAAGTGTTTCTTAAAACATTGTTCCCTTCGTTCATGTATTGGATCTCATCAAAGGAAAATAACGCATTTAATAAATTTTTGTTTTTAACAAAAATTCTTATAGCTTTTTGAAATGTAATCACTATAAGAGCTACTGAAAATAATGATCCACATAAAAGAGATGCATAACCCAATACCATCATACTTACGTGCATCATTAACCAACAAGTAAAGAAGAGAATAAAAGCAAGGAGAAAGCGAGACCTGCCCATCGGCGACGTTATTATTATGCCCCAGACTAGCAGATTCTCCGCAACCGAAAGAGTACACGTCGCCATCATCTGATACTACAAATGTAGTATAATCTCCTGTAGCAACATGTACTGCTTTAACGTTGCTTAATGCTTCCACCACCTTAGGTGAAGATTCACATTCCTCATTTCCATGACCCAGACACCCATACCGGCCCCAACCCCATGTACAAACTCGGCCGTCCCGCCCCACAACCGCTGCATGCCAAGCACCAGCAGCTACCACAATTGGCTGAAGATTCAAAAGCTGAAACTGTTCAATGAGCCGTGGGTGTTTCTCATCCGTCCTTGAACCGTGACCGAGCTTCCCACCCAGTCCGCACCCAACAGAGTATACTGACCTGATGTTTTTGAAAAATAGGATTGTGAATGGAAACAGTTACTCATCTATTGTAACAAAATGAAATGTAGACTACCAATTCAATCTAGTAATATTAGAAACCAGAATGCTGGTTTTGGAAAATGAAGATGGAGCTCACATGCCATTTGGATGACAAGCTAGAGCAAGAAGGTAGCAATATCCAGCAGCAATTTGTACAACTGGAGTGTTTTCTAACGCTCCCATCAGGGGCCGTGGTTCCAAGTCGTTTGGTTCGGTCTGATGACCGAGTCTACCATCACTTCCCCAAGAAAATGTGTACACCCTACCTTCTCTTGATAGTACAGCAGTAAAAAAGTTTCCAATTGCAGCTTGCACTACAAATATATCCCTTAGTGATTCGACCAACTTTGGTGTAATAACGAATTGAGCTCCTTGACCTCCATACTCAGCTTCACCAAATGAATCCTTGCCAAATGCATAAACATGCCCGGCATCACTGATTAACATTGTCCTCCCAGCCCCTGCTGCTGCCTGAATTATTCGAATTCCTTGTAGGGATCTGCAACGTCACGCAGTCCATTAATTTTTTACTAAGCCTACTACTTCTCTTGCAAGTTTCTGGGATTTAGGTGAAAGAATTGTTTAAATTTTTCGCAACCTGATTAGACGAGGCCGGGACTCCTCTTCAATGGTACCATGTCCGAGCTGTCCTGAGCTGTTGGACCCAAAGGAGTAAACAGCTCCTTTTGAGGTGACTGCAATGCTGTGACCGGGTCCTGCTATTGCCAGGGATTTCTCCCTTCTGCAACATGCTTCTCCAGCCAGCAAAAATCTCAATACCAGTTTCCAGGAACCACCACATCTTTGCTTCAAAGCTTGATGCTGTTCAGCTGTCATAGGTTTGAATATGGCTCTCTTTTGGCACATATCCAAAGCAGCAAGTTCCGAAATCGATAATTCATAGTCAGGGGCGAAGTTTGCAGGCTGCCTAAAGAATGAACACGTCGCCTGCAACACACACAACCGAAATCAATCAGCAGCATTATCAATCCTAGAGTTACAACAATGGTGGAAAAGCAAGAAAAGGGAAACGGAAGATCTTGCCTCTAACTTAGCAAGGTCTTGAGGATCCAAGTTACATGCTGTCAGGACATGAAGGACAATGGAGGGATTAGCAGCTAAGGGGAATTCGCCCGGGTCGGATTCCCCAAAGCAATGTCGCTTCGGTAGTGGAAATGTTGATGCTGGACTGGTGACAATAGCAGAAACTGGTTGATCAGGAATGCTATGGAACTGTATAGCTGCTGTTTTGCTTGTCGTGGCATCCATGGGCACTGCCAAATCTTTGCAGTGCCCCAACTTGGCAGAAGAAGCTTCTAAATTGCTGAGATTTCGAGAACATGAACAAAGAAATCACTACATTATTCTGTCCAGGCGATCCATTGTAAATCTAAAAGATGGGAGACATTATTATCTACCTAGACAAATCAGATTGTCCAACAAACTTCAACTTTTAAATCTACACAAGAAAAGAAAGCAGCCCTGTATAAATCCCTTATACAACAAAGGAGAAAACAAACGAAAAAGCAAACGTTTAATGGATTAATGGATGCTTTGAAGCTTATTGATTTAAGAGCCACAGCCCCCAACCCAGATACCCTTTTCTTCAAGATTATATCAGTTAAAAACAATGAGCCACTCCATCGCTACAACTTGAGCAACTTAAAGAGTAGCAGAAGGGATAACAAGAAGCTCTAAAAGAGCAGAAGAAGTTTCAAAGAGAGAAGAAGAAGATGATGATTTCAAATTTGAGTCAGAGAAAAAGGCAAAGCTTTGTTAGGAAGAATACCAATCGTCCATGAATGGATATTCCAACACCAAAAGAAACCCAAAAAGGAAAGAATTGCCAGAGGAGAGGAGAAACACCTATTCACGCAAACTCATTACAAGGACCAAAAGTCAGAGACCAAAAACTAAAACAATAAGTAAGATCAACTTCCATCCTAAATGACCCAGAACAGGTTTTACAATTATGACGATCCCCACCAATGATCAGACATATTTTTGAAACAAAAGAAAAAAATTCCTCAGACCCAGATCATAAAATTTCCAGAAACAAAAAAATCTCCCCCAAATTCGCAACCCCAGATGATGGGAGAAACGAGAATCGTTAACTGTAAACGATGATCCTCGCAGATCAATTCGTAATTATTCAGAAACAAAATTACATGTGAGTTGAAACGAGAATTCGTCAAAACCCAACTTCATCCGCCAACAATTGCCCAGTTTTTCCCCTCGGTATCGACCCACAAGAGATGCAAATTTAGATCAAAAAATTGACAGTGACGACGAAGTGGGTTTTCCGATCGGATGCTACTTCTCTTGCCACACGAAGAGGATGATTATAGGATGATTCAGGAATTTCTTTCTTTGGGGAGAAAACGAAAGGGAATTTTTATCTCGAGGAGGAGTGAGAATGAATAATTCCTGCTTTTTTATTATCCTATGAGAGGTGTCTTCGTTCTTCCAAATCTATACGTTTTTAAAGAGATGAGGTGTCTGTTTGATGGTGAATTGAGGGAGAGAAAGAAAGAACTAATGCTGTGCATACCGCTACCCAATATTTATAGTGTTACCCTTTTTCTTTGACTATGCCAATTGCTTAGTTTTTAACCATGGTTCAATGAATAAGCCCAAATCCCATCTCACACACCCCAAAACACTCGTAAAAATAGGATTTTTATGTGAAAAATACCCCTTTTTTCCCCGTCCCAATCTCCCACTACATTTTTCACTGTGTATTTGTGTAAAGTGACAGATTTCTTGAGGTAATTTTATCGGGAACCGACATTATTATTATCTTTTTCCATAATCACAAAAAGTTGTTTTACATTAACCTTGTTTACTTCAACAGGGGAAGAATGTCACATCCTCACCATCCCCATGCCATGCTCCAATAATTTCAAATTTTCCAATCTCTCTCTTTCTCACCTGTGCCTTGAAAATTTGTTATTCTAAAGAGTGGAGAAGAAAGTTACAAACTCTGTTCAAATTTTCAAAGCGGTGGTTGCAGGTCAAACAGAGCTTTCTCAAGGCCCACACGATTCAATCCATTTCAAGAATGGAGCTTTAAGCAACAAAGTTGAGGAAGATCCACTGGGTTGTCTTAGAAAATTGTAAAAAACTAAAAAGCTTAAGAGAAAGAAGGAGAAACAGCGTGGATGAGGTGATGACTCCCATGCAAGAGCTGAACCTAGAAACACCTGTCTGTCAGTGATGGCAGAATTATGAACAGGAAATGATTGACATTGATTTCCAAACAGCCATTTTCAAAAGCTAAAAGCCAAACTGGTACGTGAAAATAGCTGGATCAAAGTTCATTCAAAAGCACCACCAGTGGGAAAGAACACAGCAGGGTCCAATTCCAGTTCATTGCTTCATCTGCAAATTTTCCATTCCATCGGTTTCAAGGAAAGAAACCCAACAATTTTAGCCAAAATTTGGATCTAAATCTTGGTCTGCAGGAGGAAATATGAATAAGACCCAGTTGCCAGAATTTTCTTGATTTTGAGAAAACTTGTAATGATGTGGTATAAGGAGAAATGGCAGAGTTTGGTCCCATTTGGAGAGGAATCATGGGTTTTTGAGGACATTAATAAATGGGGGGTGTTGAATAATCATGATTGGCTCATGGTGTAAGAAATGGACCCATCCATTTATTATAAGTGCGGTATGGACTAAGGAAACATGCATATGCTATGTTGCCCTTGATTGATTCACTACCATCGTTTGAAGCAGAAAAATTGGGACTTTTTTTTTTCTTTTGAAGCTGTGATCATAGCTTTGAAGTTGTGTGAAAATGGTGTTGTGGGGGTTTCATTAGAAGAAGCAATTTAGTTTCCTCTTTTGAAAACCACTCATTGGGATGGGTTTGCTATTGCTCTGTGAACAGAGAGAGAAGTACAGAGGAAAAGAAAGAATGGGAGACTTCTGAAAACTGTTGTCTGGTAAATGGGTATAGCAGTTTTTGGAAGCCCCGATGATTCGAAAGAGAAAAAGCTAATGTACAGTAGCCAGATTTTCTCGGTGAAATTTTCTCGGGAAAATCTGCAGTTTGTTGCTGTGAATGACGTTCCCTGCGCTTGTGGACTTGCACCCCACCGAGTTTCTTCTTCTTGTCATCAAATACTTCTCTTTTATAGTTCATAATAATTTTTGAACGAGACCTTTTTTTAGTGTTTAAATATTCTATTCTTGTTAATTTAGTACATGAAATTTCAAAACCAAGCATCTATTTTTATCCATATATTTTTAAAAGGTAACTTTCTAACCTAAATTATATGCGCAATTAAAATCTTTAATTTAAGAATATAGAAATATTTCAAGAAATTTATTAAATATGGTATTATGTTGAAATTGTGATAGAAAATATGAGATAAAAGAAATAAAATCAAAAGAGAGACACACTCATATTTATATTTCTTAAAGTATATAGATAAGTGAATATTTTGAAAGTATATAGATTAAAATTAATAATGTAAAAATTACATATAAAAATTAAAATAATATTAAAATTAATTAGAGACGAAATTGAAAGTTAAAAAATTTGTTCGAAATTTTTAAGAAGGAAAGGTGAAATAGTGAAGAAAGAAAGGGAAAAGAAAAGGCAAGATCATCCCATTTTGTCAAACAGCTAATTAATGAAGAGAATATCTTAATTATATTCTACCTCTCAATTCAATGAATTATTGAAAATGTCTAACCGTATTATTATTGTGGCTTGCTCCAGGCATAAGACGACATGTCGGAGTCACTCGTTTGGAATCGGCACGTACCGCGTCGACACGTAGACGATCAACATCGTATGTAGTACGAGTACGATGACAGCATCCCTCTGTCAGAATTATTCGTACATTCTCAAAAAAAAGAAATTATTATTATTATTTGTAAAATTTTCAGCTTTTTTATTTCATCACTCTCACGTGGTGGTAGTTAGAAGTGCATTGGAGTAGTCGAAAAATTGGGCCGATTAATATCAAATTGAAGTTGGTCAGTTAATTTTAAAGACGTCATTAACTTTGACAAGTTTAAAACTGACTAATTGGTCGGTCCATCTTCTTCCCTTCTTCGACCTTGAAAAAACAAATTGATCGCGATCAAATATTTGATGTAAAATATAAAAAAATTATATATATATATATTATTATGTATTAGTCACGACCACATTAGGATTTTCCTCAAATCTCTTAGTATTTTAGAGTCGTCTCTCTTTAACTCTTTCTATAACTTCATCTCTCTGTTTGTCAACGGTTAATGTTTTTCTCTCAACTCTCAATTTTTCCGACCCTCCCAATAATGTCAATTTAAAACGAAACTGACATTTGATCCATTGATCAGTGTAACTAAACAAAAATGGAAAAAATTAGCTTTTAGTGTAGATTGATGCAAATCAGTGTTAATGGTAGTAGTGGTAGGTCATTGATAATTATTTTAACATCAATAATTAAAAAGGGAAAAAAATTCGTGAGTAAACTTTTTTGTAACTGTATGGAAAAAAAGTATACGAAACAGATTTAGTTTTTTGAGAAACAGTAAAAATGTTTGATAAAATATCATAAATATAGATATAAACACTAATACTTATTTATCAGTGGTAAAGTTTTTATCTATTAATTCATTGTTCATCATTTTAGAAATATCATAAAATTGAAATCGCGAAATTTACTTAACAAATTAATCGGTTAATACTACCTTATCTTATTATAGAGATATTCACAAGGAGCGTGAAAATGAATGCAAATAATATCACAATAAATCTATCAATCTCAACAATAAAATGCAAAAATATCGACAAGTTGAGTATAACTCAACTAGTTAAGATACTTATCGTCACTAAAAGGTTGTAAGTATACAGTTAAAAGAAAAATGAGGGAGGCTAGATGAAACAAGGACGATATGTATTTCTCGTACCCGTCTCCATTTAAGTAAGAGATAATGTCTTCGGTGGACTGTTTTAGACAATTTATTTACACAAATGTCTAAAATTTTTTAATTTTACAATTTTAGATTTCTGTAGGTCGGATTTTATTTTAATTTCGATTTTACCCATTGCATTTACATTTATTATAGTTATTTATTTATTTTTAAATATAAAAGATTTAATTCCATAAATTACTATCATAATTCTTTAATTATTGTGGGTCTCATACTAATTTTCAACATAAAATCCCTTAATCCACAATTTCAAAACCTTAATTTACTATTTCAAAAAGATTGATTTTTCCCTTAATTCAGTCTGGTGCTCAAGGACAATTCAAAATCACATAAACATCTCGATAAACATATATCTGCATATTAAAAAATCACAGTATATATCCATTTATATATCCGCATATATACATTTAAAATCACTATAGTATATATTCGCATATATACAAGTTGAGTTATAAAATATATCCACTTATATATCCATATATATACATTAAAATTCACTATAGTATATAACATATCTGCATATACAAGTTGAGTTATAAGATATATCATAATCAAACTAACTATAATATATATCCTCATATATACAATATTTCACACGAAATCAGAAATCGAAAACAACCATTAGAATGCAAACCTTTCGATTGGGATAAACGGAAACGAACTGTTTTAGCGACGGAGAAAAACGGAGGCGGCCGGAGATGAAGGCAGGCAGAAATGACCGAAGAAGAAGGAAGGACGAAAATCTCCTTTCGAACGAGATAAACGGAGACAGGCGATAGAGAACAACGGAGCTGACCGGAGAGGAAGGCAGACAGAGACGGACGATCGGATGAAGAAGAACGGATGGTCGAAGGAAGAAAAACGAGCAGTTGGAGGAAGAAAAGAAAAACAGACAGTCGGAGGAAGAATAAAGGAGTTTCAAAAATGGATGGTTTTGAGGATTTTTTTTTTTTGTTATTTTGGAGGGTGTAATTAAACACGATTTTAATTGAAATCTCCCAATTTATCATTTTTAGATTTAAAAAATTATTTAATATTGAGGTGGATGTTTAAAAAGATATTCTAGTAATTTGTGTGATGGATACCATCGTTGTTTCATGAAAAAGTGTAAATTTTATACCAATTTTATACCCTCCTAAGTAACATGCCGTGCTTAGGATATCTGTTGGCGACCAACATATGCCAAAATTATGGGCTTCCGCATCCCAAATATTCGGCCCAATATTATTTCAAAAAGCCCAATTAAACATATATATTCTGAGTTGTACGAAAAATGTCTTTTATTTTCACCAAAGTTAGTTACACAAATAACCAAGCAAAACTGTGTATTAATATAATATTTATTATTTGTCTGTCATAAAATTACATAATCATAACTCAATTATGAACATATATGCTTATTTTTTGAGGTTTTCAAATTCCCCGCCCCTCATATTTATTGTAGGAAAAAAATAAAAATAAAAATCGAGGATTGATTTATAATTCAAAAAATAATCAATAAAACAAATTAGTTTTTTTCTCTTAAAATTATTTGTGTAAACCATGATTTATCCTAAAATAATTTGATTTATTATTATTATTATTATTTTGTTTGGGAAAACTAAAAAGCATAGTGAAGAAGTGGAAATTAGTAGTAGTAGAAGAAGAAGAAGAAGATATTATGGATGAGAAAGGAATGGTGGGGGCAACAAATTTGAGGCTCTCATTTTCCCAATCTCACCCATTTGGATAAGAATACAATCCCATCTCTCCAATTTCATTGGCTCTCATTTCTCCCAAATCTCCATTCTTACAGAATTCACTCCAATTTTCCCAAATCAAACACAAACCCATCCCAGCCCTAATCGATTTTACAGAGCAAGCTTCAATGGCGGCATCAATGGCGACCATGGCGATCCTCAACCCCAAATGCTTCTCCCTCAACAGAACCCCCATCATCCCCTCAAACTCAAAACCCACCACACCCATCTCCCTCCCAATTAAAACTTCCCTCGCCGGAACCGCCATCGCCGGAGCTATCTTCTCGACATTGAGCTCCAGCGACGCCGCCTTCGCCGCCCAACAAATCGCCGACATAGCGGAGGGCGACAACCGTGGGCTCGCCCTTTTGCTGCCCCTCGTCCCGGCGGTGGCGTGGGTGCTCTTCAACATTCTTCAGCCGGCGCTTAATCAGATCAACCGGATGCGAACGGAGAAGGCGGTGATTGTTGGGCTGGGGCTCGGCGGGCTGGCGGCGTCGGGCTTGGTCATGACGCCGGAAGCTATGGCGGCGGAAGCTTCCAGCGACGGCAGGGGACAACTTCTGCTGATTGTTGTGGCGCCGGCGATTCTGTGGGTTCTGTACAACATTCTACAGCCGGCGTTGAACCAGCTCAATCGGATGAGATCCGAATGATCGACGATCGTCAAACTCATCCCGGTACCGGAATCGAAGGCTTGTAATTTTAATTAAACTCTCTCTTCTGTTTTATAAATGGAGCGTTTTAGTCAAAACTTGGCAACTTTTTTAAGTGTTTATAATCCAACTTTATTTCTTTCGTATGATATATATAGTGTATTTGTTTCTATGTTTCTTATAGTTTATAAGAAAGATAAAATTTTGTGAAACTTTAATTCATTAGTTAAGAAATTAGTAATAAAAAAAGAAAGAAAGATATCAGTTAAATCTCTAACCCCACATCTTATAAAAAGTAGAATTTTGCCATTGATTCTTAAATTTAATTCCAAAACAACATTAGAATTTTTTTTTTGAATGTTTCTTAAATTTTGGAATATTGATACCAAATAATTGGGCCGTTATGTCTCTTTTCATCCTTTTAGTTGAGTTCGGCCCATCATTTGCCGACATAATCGGTCGGCGGCCTAGCCCATTATCCATCACGTGTTCATTTAATAGTTTCGGAACGGTAGTTTTGTTCTATTTAATTTTAAAAATATATCACATTTTTCAGACGACTTTATATTATAATCAACTTTAGCTTTTTCTTTTCCTACTACAACAACAAATATGAGGTAAAATTTTAAACTTCGGATATTTTAAGATAGTCGATATGAAGTATGGTTATGTTGGCTAATTTTAGTTGATATTCTAATCAATTGATTTGACTCACTGTATTTTTAAATTTTTTTATTTGCTTCATATGTTACAAAATTTAATTACATTTTTTTTCCAAGTTTTTTATAATATTATGGGGGCCACGATATTTAAAATCATTCCTATTTCTTTGGTGATTTTAATAATTTTTAAAAAAAAAGGAAAAAGGAAAATCAAACTTATAATGATCAGAATAAATGGGTTTTGGAGTATGTTTGGTAGAAGGAAGACCAAAATGCTTGTTTGGCACTGAATGAATGTTTAAAAGATACTTAAACCATACTCTAGCTAAATAATTCACAAAACCCAAAAGTTACGCCACATCTTAAACCCATTAATTATTCATTATTATTTTATAATCTTTGTTTTTTTTTCAAAGTTACTTCTTTTTATTATTTATTTATGTATATTTATACTATGAACATCATTTTCCAGCCCCCACTTTCTCAGGAAACAAACACTTTTCATTAACAATTAAAACCCAATTACTTAACATGTTGTAATTGTAATTGTAATTGTAATTGTAATGAAAGGGGGAGCATTCAATTAATTAATAAATGAAGAATAATACTAACAGACGGAGGCGGCAGTTGGTGGGTTATTTTCCTATTCCATTATGATTGATATTCAATTTATCTTTCATTACTAATTAAGAATTTATTTTTTTCAAACGCATTATTAATTAAGATAATCTTATATATGATATGCCTTTTTCATTTCACTTAATCCATTATCAATTATATATTATCGGTTGCCTTTCAATATAGTTTTTGGTACTCCATTTTTTAACTACTGAAAGTTTGAAGCATCTACCTTACCTAAACTTTTAAAAAATTATTGGGACTAAATATGAAGCGGAATAAAAAATAAAAATAGATAAAATTATAGAAACAAAATCAAATAAAATAATTTATATTATTACACTATAACCAACTTATTCATGGTTCAATTTTTTTAGTACAAATTTGTGGAGTGGAAAATTGAACCCATAACTATTTGATTGCAGAGATTTGTTTAACCAACTGAGATATGTATATTGACTTAATTGAACCTATTAAAATTTTCATTCTATTATTATTTGAACCCAATTTTAAATAATTGAAACTGAAATTAAATAGTTAATCAGTAAATTGAAGGGCTAATATTTAATCATTGTTCATAATTGTGGACTAATGATATCCTTTGATTATCATTATGTTATCTCCCACCAACCATGCCCATTCACCATAATTTTATAATACAAAATAATGGGTAGAGGAGTGATATAAAAGCAAGGCATGTGAAGGCAATTAGTTGTCCAAATTCTCCATGCAAAATGTCAGAAAATGACCAAAAACCCCACATGCAACATTGAACTTTCCCATTTTGCCAGCTATCCCCAACTCCCCCATCCTTTTTTCCTTTAATTTCTTGACATTTCATTAAACCCAAAAAGAAAAGAAAAAATCTTATTGCAATTTTATATAAAAAGAGGTCAACTTGTTGTAAGCATCTGTTTTGCTTTGTGCAGTTCTTCAGGGAAGGCAAGAAATAGAGAGAAGGGAAGGGAAGGGAAGAGAAGGGCTCAATTTTCCTTTAGAGAGAGAGAAAAAAGTGGTTTCTAGAGAGAGAGAGAGATTGTGGCAGCTTTGTTGTGCAGAATGAAAGGTATTCAAACAAAGCCTCTAGTTATATCCAAATACTTCGTATTGTCTCTGTTCTTCTCTCTTCCTTTCCTCCTCCTATTGTCTCTCCGCCCTTACTACCACCGATTCTCCACGCCGGCCAGCACCATTCTGTCGCCGGCCAATTCCAAACCCGAATCCGACGATTTGAAAATCCGACCCGGATACACCTCCTACGATCGCTACATAAAGCGGCAGCTTAACAAAACCCTAGACCCGAAGCTCCGGAAGATATGGACGACCCGCGATTGGGACAGGAAAATTCAAGTATTCGCGAGATTCTTCGAAGATTTGAAGAGGCAGGGGCTGGTATCAAAGGAATCGAAAGCCCTATGCATCGGGGCTCGGGTCGGGCAGGAGGTGGAGGCATTGAGGCGAATCGGAGTTTCGGATTCGATCGGAATGGACCTGGTTCCGTACCCGCCGCTCGTGATTAAGGGCGATTTCCACAACCAGCCATTCCCAAACCAGACCTTCGATTTCGAATTCTCCAACGTCTTCGATCACGCGCTCTACCCGGAGCGGTTCGTGGCGGAGATCGAACGGACGCTCAAGCCCGGCGGGGTCTGCGTGTTACACGTGGCCTTATCCCGACGGGCGGATAAGTACTCCGCCAACGATCTGTACAGCGTCAAGCCGTTGGAGGCACTGTTCCGGACATCGGAGGTGGTCCGCCTCGGGAAAATCGACGGCTTCGGATTGGACACGGAGATAGTCTTCCGGAAAACGACGCGCAAGAAGACGACGATCCAACGGTCTTGATTCCTTTATTACTCTTATCATTCTTTTTTTGTATTTACTAAAAAAGAATTTTGAATTCTTTTTTTTTTTGTTTTTTTAATTAAACTGAATTAAGAATATAAGAATTAAGTCAAGTGTATAATTTTAAAGAAAAGAACAAAAAAGAGAAAAGAAAAGGAGAATACAGCTGGATTGAAAGAAATTGCTTAGAGGGTTCCATTGGAAATTAAATTATTTATTGGTTTATTTAGGAATTATATTTTTGATTAGTAATTTTTAATTTGTCTGACGTGGCATGGTCCCACTGCTAGTAATGGGCTTATTCCCTTTCCGACACATTCCTCTTTTAACTTTCCTTCGTGTCTATCTGTTCTTGCGTTTATTTCTCTTTATGGACACAATTTTCAACTGCATTTATTTTGGTTTTTTAGTACCTTTTAAAATAATAATGATGTCAAAATTAATGCATGCTTACATGTATTGATGACAAAAATCAGGATTTTTTGGATGATTTATTTGAAGACAAAAGTGTATATATATATAATATGATTTATCTTAAATTTGAAATTAGGTTAAATTTCTTTGCTCTGCTGTCACAAGTCTTGCTTTTAAAAATAACATTGTTGTCGTTGCCTTCTAATTAAAATTTACTATGTGTGTCAATAAAATAAAATGTCACAAGCTCATTTATTACATTCCTTACCGGTTAAACTCAATCGGAGATTCGAACATGCAATCTTTAGATAGGTGTTATTTAGAGACCATGGGCCTCGCGAAGGGGGCCACCCCTGGGGACTAACTTGTCATATTAAAATTCTATTACATCTCAGAGCTTTAACCAAAGGGTACTCATAAATTTTTTAAAAGACGGGACCAAAACTAGAGATAAAGCTAAAGCGGAACAGGAACAGGAATTAAAATTATAATTCAACCCTGAAACTATTTTTCAGACTAATTTTGTTTTAAGATCTTTCAATAAAAAAGCACATATATTTTACAAATGAGTAGAGCTGAAGTAATGGTGGTTGCATTGATTCAATGGGCTGAAACTCGCCGCCGGCACCGACCCGCCGACCACTAAAAATAGTTTCCGGTCACGAGATGTATAATGCACCGCGCTGCAATATACAGAAACATATCACGGGGAAAGAGAGAATTGGTCAAATGGGACTGAATCTGGCAGTGGGGCACCCATTTTGGAATTTAGCTTGTGTCCCATTACTCCTACCCTCTTTACAGTCTTTTTCAGGTGTCCCCTCTTTCGGATTCTGAGCTGAAACCTCAAGGCGCCATCGAATTGACAAACGACTCTGGGCGACGAGTAAAACAGGTCTATGAAAAGGGAATGCGTGTGCGGCGAGGCTCGTAACTGATCCATCACACAGCACAATGTGGATGCCTGTCTATTTAGAAAACAAAGGACCAAACCTGATACTAGAAACCAGAGGACCTTATGCTATATGTGGAACTTACACTGATTTTTCAACCCGACTCGGCCCCAGTTTATAGGAGAACCTATTGCTTAATTTGTGTTGCTTACATTCGAGTTTCATGCAAGAACATGAGGGCAGGTAAGGAGGAGGCTTCATCGAAATTCAACTTGCATAGTTGAGTCAGTTATACGATCCTAATCTAATCCCTGTACTGAATTTTCTACTCAGAGGAGAAAAAATCATACTATTTGTGGCTAAATTAATGTTCATTTGAAGATCAAGATTCTTCATCACAGCAGTTAGAAACTTTTCATTGTATAGTTATGATTGAACTAGTACTATCAAGAGATCAAATATCAATCATCAGACATAGCAGCAAGCAAGCCCCATGGCTAGTTGATGAAGAAAACTCAATTTGAAACCTCAGTGTGATTCAACCTTCCTAGTAATATACAATTTCTCCATAGAACTCAAGGACATGGAGGTACGAACATGACCCATAAAGTCGTTCCATCCCAGCGCCCATGCCCCATGGCTAGTTGCACAAGTTGATGGGCTATGGAAAAATTCAACCATTTAATATGTTCTATAGTATGCATTTGTTATAGATATTTAGTAGCTTCCAAACCATACTATAGAACATACTATAGAACATACTATAGAACATATTGAATGGTTGAATTTTTCCATAGCCCATCAACTTGTGCATCTGAATCTACTGGTGATATCAAAGCAAAAAGTCTAACTTCCTGACTCTCTAGGCCTGTGGGATTCTTGACCTACTACAATATATAATGTTTACTGGGGGCATTTTGTTTTAGCTGTGGATAAAAAAGTAAGGATCTCATTGCATGAAGAAAAGCTAAATATATATATATATATATATATATATATATGGCTGATTGAACTTGCAAAGGAAATAGTTCACTCTGTTCCTACTTGAAACTGAACATCAATCCCATTACTCTTGTACTCAACCGTAAGGAATCTGGAGAGCTGATCAATGTACCTGAGAATGTGCAAAACCAATTCTTTGGCATTAGAATCAAACTATTCAATCTTCAACAAGAAAATCATTGTTGATGGTTAATAAACAGTAACTCAATTTTGATATGCATATGGTTTCTTCGTTCATCAACATAACAGAACACCGACATCCAATTCTTCAATAGCTTAGTGAATCCAATTGATACCCTTGAATAGATCACCGGAGAAATCAACAACCACATTGCTGATGTTGGTGTCCACAAATTTGGATGGAATCGACTCCGAAACCCTAAAGGTTTTCAAGTCAATTGGTGGCCGATACCATCGGTGGGTCCGGTAACGACCCGTATTTCTTCGGGTCCATTGGGGATTTGAGAAAATGAACACAAACCCATTTGAAAACAGTCAGAGAGAATTTCAGAATCGAGATAAAAACAAAGTGATCGAACCTTGAGCTGCTTGATGAACGAAACTGAGGATCGGCTTCTTCCTGTAGATAATAGTAAGGGTTGCAGAAATCAACGGCTGAACTTTGTGGGATCAACTCGATGTTTCTTTCAAACGAATTTTCGGCGCCGCTCAAAATTAATTTGATCGCTACCGAAGAGACGCAGTACCAAATGGCCAACAGAACCGCCACGTCTGTGGTTCTATTTGAAGGACTCGATCATTCCTAGTTTTGAAAACGATTTTTTTTTCCTAAAATAATTTTTTTAAAAATATGTCTGATAAGTCCAACAAATCTTAATAATCATACGATAAATTTAGTTTTCCAAAGTTTTTATCTTTTCGTCAGGATATTTTTTTTAATAATACTATTTTCAAAACTTATTCTAAATACATGCCGCATCTAAATTATTTCTAAGAATAATGCTTGGAAAATAGATGACCGTTTTTGGAAGAGATGACCAACTAGGCGGAAATTTGTAGGTCGTCTCTTCGGAGGGAAAAAATGGTAAAATACATGTCGTATTATATAATAAAAAATAGCTTATCAAAGCAATGCTATTATGTTTGGTCAGTGGTTAAGTACCAATCTCCATTTCATGAGTGCACGAGATCGAACCTTACAACACGTAGGTATTACTTTTTCTTTCTACATTTTTTTTATATTCTTAAAAGTAATCAACTTTTTTTTTTAAATAAAACAATCAATTTTCTACATCTTATTATTATTATTAACAATATATGCTCATATTTTTTCTTATGGTAATCCATCACCGCCTCGATGTTGATTTGAGGAGTTATATATTAAGAAAAATGAAATTTTATGTGGTCTCCTTGGAGCATTAATGTCATAAATCAATTAGTTATAACCAGATACCAATATTGTCCTTTTTAGGGAGATGACAATGACACGTTGAGACGCTTCCCATCCTCAATTTCGAGAAATTAGGACATTTTCTTTAATTAAATATTAAGTAATCACATAAAATACACATTTTAAAGTTAAAAATTAGAAATTAGGACATATCCGCCTTGATGTTACCCTGCTCCCTCCCTTGTGGCACATAGCACGCATCAAAGTGCATTCGACAAAACATAACATCGTTACTAGATTTTTGTGTGCAAGTGAACCTTGAGCTACGAGAGAAAGACTAACGCAACACTTCCATGACACCTAAATCATACTTGCTCAAAAATCATTGATTGACTTGTTGTTTACCTTTGGAAAAATAAATTATAGTGCATGGCTACTATTTAATCTGTCTATCTAATGCTCTTCGTTTATGTCTAATAATATTTAACACTTGATTTGACATTAACTGTCTATGTCCACTAATATTTAAGACTTGATTTGACATTACAATTCCCATTATTTTACATGGTAAAATGAGGTTGAATTATTTTTAGTGGTTATGTCATAACCACCATCTTCATCATCAGCCATACACTATGTTCATGAGTTTAAAACTTACCTAATATTGTACTCGGAAAAAAAAGCTTACCTAATATTTATATCACGAGTGAGAAATAATATGAAAAGTTATTAGAAAAAAAAGAAAAGAGAAGTTGATATCCAACAAAACAAACCCTAACTCACTTCTCCTTTTCAATGAAAATAATATTTAAAAAACCTAACTCAAATTTATGTTTTTCACCTAATGTGATTTACAAAATCATTGTGTCATTAAAATAAAATGTAACGGTGCTTATTTGTCACTAACTTTTATCACAAAAATTAGGGACAAACATAGACTTAAAATTGTAATTTAACTGTAAAACATTATAATTTTGAGTTAATTATTTCAAAAAAGTTATTTTATATCTCCCATATTCATATATAACAAAGTGATGTATATTCCAGATCATATAAATATAAAAATAAACATAATCTCAATAAAGAATACTCCTTTCAACTTAAATATACTCAATTAATAAAGAATACTTCTTTAAACTTAAATATAGCTCAACTAATTAAGTCACATATTTCTAACTCAAAAGTTGTGAGTGTGAATCATCACAATGGGAGGATAAGCTGCTTCTTCCTTCCCCCTTCTTAGTCCAATGTCGAATGGAGTTTTTTTTTTTTTAGGATTGTTACAACATATTTTTTACTCGAACGAAATAGGAAATTAATAAAAAAAAAAGAGAAAGAAATAAATAATTAGTTTTATCTATAAAAGGAGATCATATGAAAAATGTAACCGTTCTTTCATTTATTTGTATTTGGGTTATTGGCCATCGCCGAGAGTTTCGTATTAATACCGATATTTTAGCAACAAATCCAATAAATCTAAACGTGAACTGATTAAAACATATATTATCAACCAAAAAGATAAAAAGACATTTTCTTTTCTAATATTAAAAATTCAAACTCTAGCCTCATAATATTAATGTTACCATCATAACTAGAAAATTAAAAGCCAAGATCAATTTAAACAATTTTTTAAAATCCATAGATTAACCAAAGGGGCCAAGGTGAACATTAAAGCATCGAGAAAATCAATTCTTACCCTAAAAAGAGGTTTTCTATGTGAACATTTAATTAAATAAACGATAGACAATAATAAATCAATAAATATGTACGAAAAACTAAAACAAGATAAAAAAACACGAATAATCAACATTGAATTTGAAGAAAGACAAACCATCCCCTAATTAAACAATTCATCACATCCATAAGTATGATATTAATGGGTTTAATCTTTTATTCATGTAAATTATAATTCTCCAAGGCTTTTCATTCTTGCTTGCAACCTTTAATTCCTTTCATGGCGTCGGATCCCCTCCTCCTCCTATGCAGGCCGATGGACCGCCGCCAGGCGTCGAGCGCCGCCTCCGGGAGGAGGCGCGCGAAGCACCATTGGAGCGAGTGAGCCCAGTAAGGGGTGCACCGTGGCTCGTACCCGATTCTGCGAATTGCAGCTCTCACATAGTCATCCGCCGATGGAATGAACAGCGACGCGCCGCTCACCGACGCCACTCTCGACGCCATTTCAGTCGCCACGTACAACGGCACCTGGGTTTTCGATTTCACACAAAAACATTCAGCTCTCAAGTCTGAATCTCTAGTTCTAACAAAAAGGGGTTCTTGCTAATTTACCAACCTGACACTGTACATCGATTCCATGGTCTTTGTACTCCGCATGCAGAGATCTCGAGAATTTGTCCACATACCTGCCAAGAAAGGGGGAAAAACAGAGCATTTCGATTATCCCACAGGTAAAAGCAAGGTTTTAATTTGTGATATTATTGAAGCTTAAGTTAGATGTGGAAGTTAAAAACGAGTTGGGTAATAAGTTTTCATTAAAAATGTATGGTAATTGGCACGTTCTTTTTTCTCAAAATGAGCAGAAGTTAATAGCTTCTCAGAAGTTGGTTTGGCAGAAACTAGATGACACGGCAGTTGCTGAGGCAAGTGGGTGGTGGGGGAGGCAGAAGAAAGAGAGAGATGGAGTTTTTTCCTCATATTTTTCTTGATTTTCTTTTCCATTGGCTTCCCTCCATGATCATGAACTCCTGCAAACAAACTTACAGTAAAAGAAGAAGAAGAAGATGATTACATACGCTTTTGTAGCAGCATAGATTGCATAGAGAGGATGGGAAGGAACAATAACGGCAGCTCCAGAGCCAATATTCACAATGGCTCCTCTGTTCTTCTTCATCATCTTCGGCAAAACAGCTCTGGTAACCCGAGTAGTGCCCTTCACGTTCACTTTAACAATATTCATCCAAACTTTCTCTTCCACTTCGTGGAAGAAGCTGGCGTTTGGGTAAGTAATCCCCACGTTGTTTATCAGAATCCCCACGTCCAAATCTTCAATCACCTCCTCAATCTCTGCAATACCACCACCAATATCGTCTTCTGTGAAGTCCAATTCAACGGTCTTTATCTCTGTGTCAGGGAACTGAATTTGAATGTCCTTAGAAACTGCCTTCAGCTTGGTGGAGTTTCTGCCGACCAGTATAATGTTCAGGCCGGCTCTGGCCATCTGATAGGCAAATGATTTTCCGATGCCGTCAGTGGCGCCGGTGACTATGCCCCAAGAACCATAGTATCTCAGATCCTTGGAGGGTCTGAGAAAGGCTCGGAAAACCCATCGGACGGTGGACGTGAAGTGCCGGAGAATGGTGAAGAAGCCAAGCAAGGAGAGAATGAGAAGCCAAATGGGCTGAATGGAGAGGAACAGAAAGCATGTCCCCGTCATTGTGTGCATGATCTGTTTGATTTCTCTCCTTTTATTTTCCTTTCGTTCGCCTCATTTTCATGACCATAACACTTCTTTAATAAGGAGAGAGAGAGAGAGAGAGAGAGAGAGAGAGAGAGAGAGTAGAGAGAGAGACTATGTTCAGTTACCTACTTCATGTGGTCTCTTTCATTTGTTCGTTATTGAAAGTTCATACGTAAACTCTTCAACCCAAACAAGAAAAATGCTTACGTTATATGGATGCCAAAAACATGAAGTGTGATTTACAGATGTTAAAGAATAAATAAATGCTTTCATTAAGCACGGGAGTTTGCTTCATAAGATTAAAAAACAACATTCGAAGATGGAAAAAGGCCCTCCAACCATAAGACAGTAATGGCGAAATCAAAGAGAGAACTGACACACAGCTTCTTCCTTCTATGGGTAAATAATGGAACTATACTGCACTGTTGGGGTAATTTCTGTGGAGTTCAGCTTTGATCAATTATGTTCATAAAATAACATTTGAGGTAATGGTAATTTCTGTGGAGTTCAAGCTTTGATCAATTTTGTTCATCAAATAACATTTGAGGTAATGTCATACAAACAACTCTTAACTGCAGTAAGAAAGAAAAAGTTGGAAGATAACTTTATGAAATTTATGTACTCTCTTAAATTTTGTACCTAAAAGTTGGGTGGTTCTTGAAAAATAGGTGGGTCCAGTTCGTGATTCAGTCCTCCACCTGTCCAGCTTCAGTGCTTTATTTCATATAAAGTTGCCATCTTTCCTGCAAGATGAAAGCAGCCATGCCATTACTTTTTAGGGAAGGACCACTAGAGTATCGAACCCAAGAACCAAGATGATACATCTGCATCCTCCGAGACATTAATTGCTCACAGTGCATCCCTTTGACATCGAGGTGGTCATAAACAAGACAAGCTTTCGTTTTATTTCTTTAAAAAGATGAGGACAATCACATGATTTACTTGCCACTACACTCCGCTTTCTACTCCGAATTTGCCTTGCTGTTGACGTCGAGAGATTACTGCCAAGCACTTTTAGTTCCCCGTCAACTTCATTCCGTTTCGTTTCCCTTGGACCTACCCGAGTGACGCTAGAAGAAGAAAATAATTTCAGCTACCAATCAGTCAATAATCTTGAGATGTTGATGCAGTTACAACTAGGGATGTGTTGAATTCAAATCTTAGACCCTTAAGGGTCTGAGTCGTGAGTACTATCATGGCCAGAGCCCTTTGGAAATTGCTCTTGGTTGAAAGGATCATCAGTGCCTTGTACGGAACTCAATCTAGGAGAGAGGTTCCAACCCGTTATCTGTTCGAGGTCTCGCCCATTTGATCTCATACTTGTTTCTTCTTTTAACTTCAGAAAGAACATTGATGACCAGAAATCTTTTGCCAGATTCTTCAACGGAAAACAGGACAGAATACAGAGATGTGATGAAATCGAAGTGGGTGGAAAATTAAAGAGAGGTGCAATAGAAATATGTACCATCTTTATCAACTGTATTAGCTCATTTAGTGCGTTATTAAAAAGCTTGGGATCAGCCAGATTAGAAGTCGTCAGAATCTCTTGACGGCATCGGTGAGAAATGTTCACCTCCATAGTCGCACCTGTAGGAGAAATGAAATATGCAACTTCAAATAAAATCATAGATCACTAACGTTCAAATGTGAAAAATCATTAACAGAATCGAGCTTAATCTCAGAACATGAAAATTAAGAGTTATGTTCTTTTCTCTCTCTCTTTTCCGTAACAGTTAGTTGGTCCCTTAAACTGGTGCTTAAGAGTTGGTCAACAGGAAGAAAGTGATTGGTCTCTTTTGTCAAAAAGGTGCAATAAATTAATAACCATCTTGTAATTGTACATAGTAATTTTAATGACTTTCTTTCACACAAAAAAAAAAAAAAAAAGTTAATGCGTAGGCACTTTGGTAGGAGGCAAATGCTAGTGGGAACGTAATGTGAGCATGTACTGATGTACAGCATACACAAGCGCCAACTGTTTTTAAAATTATAACTAAAGTCATAATGACCAAACATTAAAGAATTATATTGATCAGCCAACTGTTTTTGGTTCCAATAATTGAACCCTCGGTTGAAAATTAGAGTACATCTCCATAAGGACACGTTTTCAATGACATGTTCGATCAAAATAAGAACTTCGACTTGTAAGCATATTTTACAATGAAACTTAAGGTTGAAAGCAAAGCAAGAAGAAAATTACTGGTTAAGTTTCAAGGCTAAGTCCTAGTGCACGAACCTGGTGTTATGTAGTTGACAATGATATGTCTTGCCATATAGATCCTTCTCACAGGGTCGTCCAACGGTAGTTTTCCTAGCTCATGCACTTCATCATAAAAGTGCACGTTCTCCCCAGCTAAACAACTACAATTGAGAAAGCAAAAACAGAATAGTACTGTGGTAAGATCTCAAATAATTAAATCCTCTTAAGTTGTTTCTAGAAGTCCAAAGAAAATAGACCTCGGAGGGTCTTACATGATAAAAAGTTGTGTGGAAGCAGATAGCCCAACAATGCCAAAATATATTGAATATCCCTAAAGGACATAAAAATACAATTACAAACACTGTGGTATAGGTATTTCAAGAAATCTGAATTCTCATTGAGCCAAGCTTGACACAAACTCCCACCAGTGATTGCCCTTCCCTCTACTTAAATATGCATTGGATAGTAACAAATCCCTTACAATCCCACGGCCAACAAACTACTCAATCATAGTGTGTATTCGAACAAATTAATTACTGATACCATCTTCTTGTTGAATCTTCAACTTTGTTATCTCTCTCTCTCTCTCTCTCTCTCTCTCTCTCTCTCTCTCTCTCTCTCTCTCTCTAACAGAAAAATACAGGAGGAATATAATTAGTACCTGTCTGCAAAAGCCATGAATGACTGACGAAATCTCTTGTTCAGAAGTAATGTCTCCAGTGGTTCATTAGCATCTATGACTGTTTCTGATTCCCTTTGTAGTAACAATCCACTATCTGGTATTCCCAGAGCCTGACCCATTGAGTCATATTCAAGAGTTTCCCTTTTTCTCAAACTAATTTGAGAAAGCAGTGGTTGCGAACTTGATATAGAGAAGAAGGTCAGCACAAGAATACTTGCCTGTGAAAGATGCCTAGGAAATGTTAGGAAAAGTGCCATAAGTCTTACAAAATGACTCGGATTACAAATGATAAGATCGCAGAAAATTGAAGCAGCAAAGATGCCATACCGTGACTAATAGCAGAAATCTAGAGGCAACCTGGAGTCCTAAGATCTCTTCGTGGATTTCATTTGTGACATAGGCAGAAACCCAAACTCCTGGAAGAACAAAGAACATGTTAGAAATTAGCCCCGAGTTTTGAGTTTTACAGTACTTTCACATATATCACCGCAGACTAGAGAGCTTGTAAATTAATGGAATGGACAATTAATTTCATTAATTTTTCTTTCCATTAATTAGTTTTTGATGATTAAAGAACGCCAACAATATTGGAAAAATACAAGGTATATATGAACAAAATGCCACTACAAAAATTCAAAGATGTAGCAAAGGCTTTTTAAAGTGCTGAGGCACACTAAAGCACTATGATCCTTTTGGCCTGGGCTTAAGCGCTAAGTGCAAAGTGCAAAATGGAAAAGAAAAAAAAATGTGCTGCACAAAATAAAACGTAAATAAATATTTTATATATGAAAAAGATATAATATTATGATAATAAGATAATGAAAACTTTGATTAAAAAGAGCTTTTGTAAGAGATTGTTATGAGAAATGAGGATTTTTGGAGGATATTTTACGCCTATGAGCAACAAAGAAATTAATAATGGTTTCAAATAAATCTCTTCGAATTAGTACAGCAACTAATCATGTTACGTTTGACCAAAAACCATAGTTTCAAGCCTATATCAGCTTAAGCCGAAGATAATCAATTATTGGATACCTTTTGTTAAAATTATTGAATTGCCAAAACCATAAAGTCCTCATAAAGAATTCTAACGAATGAATTAGACCCTTTTTATTACCACCACCGTATCTTATGCTAATCTAAGAAAAAATCAGAGGCCTTACATACCAATTGAAGATGCCGAGACTATTATTCCCTTCCACAAGTCTCTAAGTTCGTCAAACCTGAACTCTATATGACGAACAGCCCATGTAAGTAGAACTAAAGTAGCAACATATAGGATATGGAGAGACATGATTGGAACAATCCACCGAGGCCCCATGTGGCACCTGTAATTTAGAGGCTTCTTGACATTGATAACTGCAGCAAAAATGAAATATTCTTGTTCAGTAAAAGTCTGTGAAATTCTCTCATCAGAAATTACTAAAAATATCTTGGACTGGTACATCATATATAATATATAAATGAAGCCGATATTTCATGCATAGTGGTTCTGAAGTAATTTAGTTTCATTATTCCAGTGTTCAAACAAAAAAAATGTGTTATATACATATACGCATAGAAAATTCCAAATGAAAGAGAATCTCACATGTAGCCCCAGAAATCCATGGCAATAGGATTAGTGGAAGGAAGACGTATGTTCTGATGGGTGGTAGACGCCGCCTGAAAATCAAAATTCAAAAGCAATAGAATATTCAGAAACCATTGTGGAGGGAGGGAGACGGCAGAATGTCTGAGCTTTCCAGTCCTCTATTTGGTAAACTATTGGTTTACTTACTTTACAAAAATGTAATATAGTTGGAAGGTCTGTGTTATGCGACCACTCAGCAACAAACCAAATCCAAGGGGACCTTCAACCCACACTGAAGCAAGAAATGGAAAATGAAATTTGGGAAGGAAAGTAATCACAAATATGAAAGCTCTATTTGACAGGAAGTCCCTAATAATGACACAGTTAGTGAAACCTGCCCAAATGTAGCACGACTGCCACCTTTGCCTCGTTTTGAATCTGAGGAAACTTACAGAAATCTGAAATAGGGAATGTAAAGTGGCACGAATTAGACCTCAAATCATAACATGTAAAAAAGAATGAAGAGTGACAGAAATAGTTCCATAGTCTACCACAATTGACAGCAGGAGATTGAGACTAGCAAATACTTGAATTACTGGAATCCAAAAGCGGCTGCCTTTAGGGAGAGGAATCTTGTAAATCACATAAGGTAGTACGGACCGAGAAATCAGCCTGAAAGGAATAAAGTGGGACAAGTTAATCTCCTATTTAAACAGACAAATCAGCAATAAAAGAACAAAAGCAAAAGTGAGAACAGCTCAGCCTTCAAGAACAACTAGCTGAGTTCTAAAGGATTATAGTACTGCCACAACGTGCTCGTAATTTGATAAAGAGGAAGCAATTGCTGAGCAAGAAAACGCAGATATTTTCCATTTATAAAGATCATGACACTCCATGTAAATAAGCTAAAACTAAATTCATCCAAGAAAAGAAAGAAGTTCGACTATGAGAGTGAGAGAGAGAATCAACTCAGCTTCGAACCAAAACGACCAAAATCAAATATTGACTTAGGAGACAACAACCAAAACAGGCCATGATTCCCAAAACCCGTCCCCGATGGCGCCAAAACTCATGGAGAACACAGCTCAACTACCATGGATGATGGAACGAACACTCCCAACCCCGTTGGAGAATAGCGCGTAAAAGGAAGAAAAGACGAACACACATACACATCATAACCTACTCGGTGAAATGTGCAAAATCGCTGGATCGTTTCATAACTGAAACAAGAAGAAAGAAACTCACAAAATCATACAAAGAGCGGCGAAAGCGATCGCGATGTAATCGCTGGGGCAGCCACCGTCGACGGCACAGCGCGCCATTTTGCTTATCCTTTTGCATCCGTTCAGATAAATATCTTTCTTCCTTTAATGCGACGAATCACAAATTTGAAGAAATCATTCTGATTCGTGAGAAATTTTGGCATAATCAGTCGATTACGTTCAATCGTTCTCTTCACAATAATCGATTGATGATTATTCTTCTTACTTCGAGGGGCGTCTCCGCTTTTTCACTTTTTTCAGAGTCCACTGCCATGTCACATCGAAGTTTGACCGAAACGTAATCTTGTCGGAATATTCAAATTCATTTCATTGACTAAATCTGGAATGTCTGCTGACGTGTCGTGCTCTAGACGACATGTCGTTCAGAATTTAACTAGCTCAAAGATCTTCTCTCTTCTATTGAAAATTTGTATAGTATTATCTCATTTAATTTCTAACTTCATCTATAATATTTTAAATTTTAAATTTTGTTCTAATATTTTAATTTTTTTTATTTTATCAGCTAAAAATTTTTCAACCAATTTCCTACTCAATGTTATTATTTTCTTTAAGAGATACTTTATCATTGAAATTGAATAATAAAATGATGACGTGACATTTGAAGTACATGTGATATTATTAATTTATAGTTTCATTGGTGAGAAAATATTCAAAACGACATTCAATTTACAAAGAAAACAATTAATCTTGAAACTTTTAAGAAATTTAGAAGGATAATCTATGGATATCAAATGATGATCAAATAAGACCACTTCAATATAACAATACATGACTTCAAAAAAATCTAATAAAGAATGTTTCAAATACAGGATGAGGGTAACCCAACAAGAAGCCTAATGTAATGAACAGAGAGAAAATCCCATCAAATATTTTTCCAAAAATAAGAGACCCAAATGGCCAAATATATACACAAAAAATTTGCATATCCACAGCATCATAATATTCTCTGCACTAAAGAAGGCAGCCACCCAGAAGCAGCAGAATTTTGTTCTTTGAGAAGCACAAAAAAGGCTAAAAAGCGAAGCAACTCCATGCTTTCTGCAAGAAAAAGAAACGAGAAATGGTTTGAAAATGTGTGATGTGTGACAGTGAAACACAAAGCATGGAAGAACATAACACTAAAGAAAAAAAAATACCTTTCTTGGAAACTCGTACTTGTGATTCTTCTTTGAAGCTTCATGTTTTTGGTTTTGGGTTTTCTGCGAAATCACTGTCTTTGAAGTTGTTCCTCCTCCATTCTTCTTATTATCTCTTGCCTTGTTGAAAATCATCGTGAACCCTTCAGCCGAAGCAGGATCCTTAGCATCCCACTCACCAAATTTGGGTAGAGTTCTGCCATTGTCACCCTGCAAATACAGAACAACTCAGGAATCAAAACCCCCCATCAAGAAAAACCAGCAATACAATAACAAAACGATGGAGAATCAGAAAGCAGAGCACAAAAATGGGGAAATTGGAATCTTACTGATGCCATGGATGAAGCCTGAGAAGACTGAGATTTTGAGGAAGAAGAAGGAAGAAGAAGAGGTGTGGTTGAAGAAGAAGAGGGAGTTGGGGGTTTCTTATAGACATTTTTTTAGGTAATTTGGTTAATGGCTTACAAAGTCCACTTTGTCAAAACGCGTAACAGAGTTTTTACCGTTGTGATGAACACAAGAAGACATATTCAAGGCCTCAAAATGGGCTGCTCTTCTTTAGTATTTACAACTGTCTAATCTAATATAATAACCATGGCCAGATGTGAAGAACTTACCAGGTTTACAACTCCAACAAGCAAATTTATTTTATAAAGTAAAGACAATACAATTCAATATTTCATTTCAATCTATACTATTCTATTCTTCGCCATTTACAAGGACCCACAATAGATTGTATATTTGTATAATCTCTAGTAGGTCAAAAAGAATCATTTTTCAACGAATTGAACAGAATAACAAAAGGTATACCCAAATTTATGAAAGTTTATTATATGTTCCCTTTGACCTTATATCATATACACCGCCTTCAGAAAATACTTTATCTTGTATTGACCATACTTAATATTTGACGACAAAAACACAGAGATTTTATTTCTTTTTAAATAATGAATTGTCAAATTTTCGAGGTAGTTAGAATAGAGATAGGTCATGACTCGTAAATAGCAAAATATTTTCCTTTTCCAACATTAACACTTTTTTTTATTATTTGAAATTTTATTTTCAAAATTGTTTATAAGAATTGTGATACAATTGACTTTTGTTGTGATAAAAAGTAAATCATATATGTTTTCATGAAATTAAAAAAATGGGATAACATTTTTTTTTAGTATAGCATGGTGGATGATCGAACTTACAATCTCTTGATTAAAGATATATGTCAATTAACGTTGAGCTATACTCGCTTTTGTTTGATGAAAAAAAAGTTATCAGAAATGAAACAACACGTTAAGTAGAATTTTGAATTTACAAAGTCATGTAATTGACGAAATCAACTAAAGAAAATGTTCTATCCAAGAAGTCACATGTAAATCGAAGTACATAAAAGAAAAAGGGAGAAAAAAAAAGAATATAATATCAAGGAATATATTCCAATATTATTCATCTATAACTCAGATCTATCATCTAACAAGTACAAAGAAGAAAAAAGGAGGTAAGTTGGGGCAATCTAGCAAAAGGCTTCTCAGAACTCTTAAAAATTGAGTCCCGAGAATCAGTATAGGCGTGACCAACAGGCAAATCTAATGCAATTAATAAATGAACTAAGAAAAAATATTAAGAAAAAGGATGGTGTTGCCATATATACGATACAATTTACCGACACATGAAGGAAATTCCTCAGGTGGTGAATGGGTCATAAATTTGGTCACAAAATGGTTCCCAGTAACCATATGTGCAAGAAGAACCAGTAGGTAATGAGGCCTAGTCTTGCGCCTGGACGACTCGTTAAAATCCGACCGCCTGAAACCCTGCAAAGGAATTAGGATCAGGAATACTCGTATTGAATCATTATCAAAGTGTAGAAATTTGAGTGTACAACTACGAATTGACAGTTTAATTAATCTGGTAGAAAGTATAATCAAACGGAGTCTCGAGTGACTTCTAGTGTAGTGTAACCATATTAGGATGGGTGAAGCAAGTGTTTTCGCGAAAAATATGGTATGGCCTACAAAAAAAAAATTGCGCTTACCAAATTCCATCAATTCGATCTGCAATGAGTTTTCCATGTCTTGGGACGAGACCTGATGAATTAAGTGATTTGAACACATGACCTGAAAAAGAACATGCGTAAGTTCTCCAAGCTTTGAAACTAATCAAACAAATAGGCCAAACTTATAACAGCAAACCTTTGTCTTCGACAATTTCCATGCCATTTCCTATTAAACGATCAGATTCTGTCTCTACCTCAATCGCAAGATGATCAGCTGAACCTTTTCGCAAAGTTCGTGAAATGGCAGCTGAGGCTGATGGAACAGGTGGTATTGCACTTTTCCCAACCGCTCCCTACAAAATACCAAACAGTAGGTGTAATCCATGAAATTTACCCCCAAGAGAACCATTCATATGGAATGCACATCTAAAAAGTCATCAAAACAGTAGCATATCGTGCTTCTAATGGATAATACAGTAGGCTACATATCTCGACTGACTCAAGCAAGCAACTTATACTTCGTAACTTAAAACCTCAACAAGTTCCTTTTTTCAATTTTTGGTTTTTGTCACAAGTAATTATTCGAACTCCCTAAACATCATGTACCACATCATTATTATAAGTTTACATGGAAAAGAATATATGGATATGTACCACATCTTCAACTTCTGATATTTCTGATCCAGAAGGAAAAGAAGGTGCTTCAAAAATGCTTCTTTCTTTGATCTCCGGCCCCTGAAGTGATTCTTCCAGTAGCTTATTTTTCGTAGTTAGTTCATCCACGACCTTTTGGCTTCCTATTAACTTCTCTCTCAGTTCCTCCAATTTGGTTTTTGAATTTTCAGATTCTGAAAGCATATTCACAACCTGCCTTTCTAATATTCTTACTAGTCCCTTCAAGCCATCTGACTTCAAATCGCCATTGTAGTGACTACTACCCAACAAACTAAGAATTTGCTCCAAAGAATAAGAGAGCTCTAAGAGATCTTTCTTCATTTCCTCTGAATCAAGCTGATTCCTCGATGCTCTGTCAACCTCCTCTTTCAGCTGCTCAATAGCGAGTATTTGTGTATTAACTGTAGACTGCAGCCTTTGCTCGTCATGAGATAATAAGTTTAGCTGATTCTGCAACTCAGAAACATAATCAGGTAGATAAAAGAGCTTCTTTACATTAGGTGAATCATATTGTTCCAAATCTAGGTTTTCTAATTCCGGCAAAGGGATCTCAATCCTTCTAACTTTCTCAAAAAGGGCTTTCATCTGTATTGCTGTTAAAACGTAGTCTTCTGCCTCTGAAGAAAATAAAACTAAATTGTCAGGATTTAAAAGGGATAAAAAAGATCATGGAAGACTTCTACAAAGACTTGAAGGGAAAGAGAAAAAAAAAAAGAGGTTCACCTTGTTCTCTCTTCACCAACAAACTATTATACAATGATGAAAATTCAGCCTCCCTTTCTTTCAACTTCTCTTCATTTGCTTGACAAGCCTCGAGTTGAAGCCTCAGTTCAACACAGGAACTTTGTAGTAGTTGTAAATCAGTCTCCAACTTAACTATCATATTTTGGTTCAAGTCCCTTTCCTCTCTAACTTTCTCAGAAGTAGCCTCAGTTACTTCCAATATATTCTGCATATCTTGAATGGTAGCAGCTGCAACCTTACTGGTGCTCTCAAACTGTTTAACCATAGATCGAACTTTTCTACTAGCAGATAATAATTGTTCTGCGGCTGCAGCAGACTTGCTGGTAGGAGATTTTGACTGATACTCTGCACCACTTGTATCCAGAGTAATGGTATCCTCCTTCAAATTTTCAAGTTCAGGAATAGAGGTGAGTAATAGTAGATGGTTTGTCACTTCAAAATGAAGTTCTTTTGTAGTGTCAACACAGGCAGACAGTAGAAGTGAAACATCATCTTCCAGCATCGTTTTGGCATTTTCTTGTTCCTGTTTATACATTTCAAGATTCTTCACCATCTCTTTCAAGGATTCAACGTGTCCACACACAAAAATTACTTCCTTTCTTGTTGCCTCCACTTTTTTTAACAGATCAGCGATAAAACCGTCCATTGAAGAGGAGAAACCTTCAAAATAATCTGTGAACATCTTGTTTTTCAACCAGATTCCTTCCGTAATCTTTTTAAAAGATGATGAAATATTACCAACGTCATCTTCAACAATCACCTTTCCATTTTCACTTTCAACAGCACACTGAAGGAGCTTTCCATGAGATTGGGATTCCATAACATACGGATCCTGGATTATATTTAAACAATATAATCAGAAAAAAAATCCACATGTAATGCTTGACAATAAATAATTAGATAATTTACATATTTCTACAATGTGAGAAGCCGACATGGCAATGTGCTGGGGGGTTGGTGTTGAATTAATAGATTCTAAAAGAACATCAAATGGCTGCATCCAGAAAAGCGAAATCCCAAAAACAAAATGAAGATCTTTTTCCGATTAAAAAAAATTGCATTTATAAAGAAAAATAAGAATACAAAAGAAAAACAGGCCAGGCAAAAATTCAGGCCGAACCTAACACAGGAGCTACCAAAATATTCAAACATTCAAGACAGATAACGGCATAAACAGATTAGCATACAGAATAATTTTGTATGCATTTGTTGAAAGTTATAAAAGTTTGTATTTTGATATCAAGGAAAGCATAAGAAATTACCTTAACAGCATGGTGATTATGAGAGTCTATTATGCCACTGTTAACGAAACAGTCCCTGGTGTTCTTCAGAATGATATCCATCTCTTTTAGACTTTCAAGTTTCTTCTGAAAGCATCCTGTCACCACTGTCAACAATGTTTCATCTGCAATAAACTTATGAAGATCATTGAGGTAGCCTGTAAACTCCATGGACCTGCTTTGTAAGCTGCCACTAGTCCCAGCCAACTCTTCCATGCATGCCTTTAATTTGGAATTTAGAGCTGATATCTCATTTTCGGAATTTTTCCTCTCCCCTTCAATAATAGAAATTTTACTTTCCGCCTTAAATAGTGCATCTTCCAAAGATTTTATTGTTTCAAAGGCCTCAACAACTTTGCTTGCCTGAGAGCTGGCTTCGTCTTGCAATATCCTTCCCTCAGTCTCTAGCTTCTCTATAGCACTTTGTGCTTCAGCATTCTGTTCCGTCAGAAAAGCAGCATTGGTCTCAAGCTCAGTCAGTGTCTTTTCTAATGTGTTTATAGTTCTCTGGGCCTCTGCCAATTTATCTGTCTGAACAGCCACTTCCTCCTTTACTTTCTCAATCTCCAACTCTGCAGTGGCTTTACCAACTTCAGCGTCTTCTTTCTCTTTGACGAGCATGGATATTTTATTTTCTGCCACTGATAATGATTCTTGAAGGAGGTTCATAGATAAAGAAGCCTCCGCAGACTTGCTGGATTGGGAATAGGCTTCATCTAATGCTTTCTGTAGTTCTTGTTCAAAGCGTATCTTACTAGATTCTATTTCCCTTTTCTCCTCAGAAAGTTGAAAAGCGTTGCTCTCTGCAGTTGATAATGCATCTTCCAATGATTTCATAGCAGCTAAAGCATCTCCTAATTTACTTGTCATAGTACTTGTTTCTTCTTTAACATTCTCCAACTCTTGTTCTGTGCGTATCTTATCATCATGAGATTCCCTAACGTATTCTGCAATCCACTTCACCTTAGCTATAGGCTCTTCAAAAACTATATCAATGGGAAGAACAATTCCATCAATTGATTCAATTACTTTTTGTAACATATTATTGCTCTCCAGTAAGAACTGCTCATATTGATTGCATTTGTCCTTCATGGTACCAAGATCAGACTCTAACTCCGGAATGCGCTGTGTATCAAAAGATAACAAATTGATTTGATTTCTGCAATCAGCAACTGTTGATTCTAGACTATCTAATTGTAGTTTTAACTTCTCTATTTCTATGTTCTTATCATCCAAGAGACTTTTCATATTTTCCCTGTCCTGAACCAGTCCTTTGCCTTTCTTAACTGCCAGGGACAACTTTTCCCTTAGACTGAGATATTTATCCTCTGATCTTTGAATATCTCTCTGCAAAGAGTCATTTTCCTCCTTCAATCCTGTAAGTTCTTCAGACACAGATTTTAACCTAGTTGAGCAGTTACTCATATTTGAAGACTCCTCTTCTAGAATTATATCATGGAGCATCAGATCCTGATAACTGACATACAAAAGAGTTTGAACCTTTTCAAAAGATTCCACATAGTCATCAGAGATTTCAGCAGAAGCACAAGCCTGCTCTTTTATCCTCCGAAAGCATCTGTAAACAAACAAGTTGAAGTCCAATGAAGTTTCACTGACCCCTCCATCATCTGTTGTCATTCCAGATTCTTCTTGTAACATTTTTATGATTTGAGCCTTCTCCAACGAAGCAGAAATTTCNGAAGTTTCACTGACCCCTCCATCATCTGTTGTCATTCCAGATTCTTCTTGTAACATTTTTATGATTTGAGCCTTCTCCAACGAAGCAGAAATTTCAGCAGAAGCACAAACCTGCTCTTTTATCCTCTGAAAGCATCTGTAAACAAACAAGTTGAAGTCCAAGGAAGTTTCACTGACCCCTCCATCATCTGTTGTCATTCCAGATTCTTCTTGTAACATTTTTATGATTTGAGCCTTCTCCAGTGAAGCCTGATGCTCTTTTACCATGACTTCTTTGTATTTACTTAACAAATCATCCAACTCCTCCTGCAGATAGTCCTTTTCCTGTAATTTAATTAAAAGTAAAGCACTTATGCGGTCAATCTCTATATGTGCTGCTTCTTTTGTTTTAGCAAGTTCATCCTGCAAGATCTTTATTTCATCTTTAGCCTGAAAAAATGATTCCTTAAGCCAACTGACAGAAGATTTCAGGTCATAAGGATAAATCAAATTTGGCCAATCAGATAAGTTTAGAGTATCTTTTAATTTATGAAACTCCAATAAAATAGCCTCTAGGACATTCTTCTCATCCACAAGCCACTTGAGTCTTTCCATACTATCCATTGACTTAAGTTCACGAGGAACTTCAAATTGAGATAAAATATCCTCAAAACTTTTAAGGACCATATTCCTTTGCAACAAATTTTCCTGAAGTGATGCAACTAAATTTTCATTTTCAGCTAAGTCAACCTTAATTAAATCGGCAGCCTCCAGAGCATTTGATTTCTCTTGTAGTTCCATAGAATATTGTTCAAGCTCACGACCCTTTTCAGCTAGAGACTGTTTTAATGCATCACGTTGCTGTACTAGTGCCTTGCCTTTTGTCACAGCCATTGTTAGCTTCTCTTTGGTATTAACGCACCTTATCCTTTCCTGCTCCAGCTCACTCTTTGTTTTTTCAAGTTCTGCATTAACGGTCTCAACTGTCAATCTGTAATTTTCTAGCTGATCTACCAATCTTCTATTTTCATCTTCCAGGTGACATATTTTTTCAACATTGCTTACCTCTTTAGCTTTCAGCTCAGTTAATTCATCACGAGCAGTGGCAAAAATTGTTCCAAATTCTGAAAAGACAATGTCCGACTCTTCTCCAGATAAACATCTTTGGAGTTGATTGATTTCCAGAAGGATATAATTATAATTATCAATTAACAAAGAAGAGTTCCTTTCAACATGAAGCACTTTTTCAGATATAGAATCATCAAGAAGGTCTTGCTGATTCAATACTGAGTTGAGAGAAGCTAACACTCTGTCTAATATGACCTCCGTATCCCTCTCCCTTTCCAGTGAAACTTTCATAGAATCCTCAATTGAATTTGCATAAGAGCGAATGACTTCATCAGACACTGAAAATTCAACAACCTTTGCATTTAGATGTTCAATCTCTTGATCCTTCATTAAAAGGTTTGAACGAAGTTCACCTATAGTAGCCTCATACTGCAACCGTTCATCTAAAGTCCTATTAATCAATTGTGAGCATTCATTTAGCAGGTCTTTCAATGTCTTATTAGTAACCAGAGTGTTCTCCTCCACATGCTCAATTCCATGTAAATGAAGACTCTCATTCGACTGACTGCCATTTACATAGAGCACCGACTGTTGATTGGTAACCGGATTAAGTTGGCGACAAATTCTAAGAAGTTCTTTCACAAAAGCCTCTCTTTCTTCCTGCAAATCAAGCACAACAAAAGAAAATGAAATTTAATGCTAGTCCAAAGCATGCAACCTCAACCGGGAGGGGGTGGTTGGTTATGAACCTCAAACTCGTGTATGACATTTTCTTTCTCAAAAATGCTCTTATTCAGGATGTTCCTCGTGTTTTCCACCTCGTGCATCAGAGAAACATTTTCCTCCTCATACTGTAATTCCTGCATATCAGAGGGTTTTTCCTCCGTAAAACTACCTTGTGTTTCAGCAGCTGCTTCTCGGCTATCAGCATTGCCAACTAACTCATCCGGGCAATCCACAAACATATCTTCTTTTCCAGCATCTTCGACTACTACAGTGTCATCTTGTCCGGAGTTCTCTGCACCTTCGAAAGGCCCATTATTCTGCGACAACGTTGATCCCCATACTCCATGTTAAAACGAATCTCACCTTCGAAGCATTGACTTTCAATTTCTTTTCTAATTGACACGAAAAATTCATATGAAGAAATTTCTGCAGCTTTCGCACCTGAATAAATGCTACACTAACCTGGTTCGGTTCATTGGACACTTCGGAGGACTGTAAAGCGGGATAATTCTCCGACATAGTGTCCGCGGTAGTCCCAGAGGATGAATCCATAACATCAACATTGTGCGCACTTTCCACACCTTTGTCTCCATCTTCAGCTCCACTTCCTGAACTCTGCAGCGCCTGCTCTGGATCATGATTCTCAGACATGCCGATATCTCATAACCCAACCGCCCTAACTTCAACGAGAAATAGATCTTAAACAGAACAAACAAATACTAGCGAATCAACAAGTTCGATAGAATTCAAAAACGATACCTAAATTCAATCGAAGAACCAATGGAACCTCAAAACATACGATTCAAACCCCTAATTCGTTGAATTACAAATTCAAAAAACAATAATAAAATCCTAATGGCGCGTAAAAAAATTGAAACCAGCAAAATTACTATCGCGATTCCATACAATGGATGAGTAATTGTCAGGTGGCAGTTCTGGATCAACCACTCGAGGACCTCTTCAAAATGAATTTGGAGAGTTTACGCAAATCAATTCGTAAACCAATTGATCTGATTCAGCGTCACCGTTCTCTGTATCGCAGGGCTCGGCGCGATGCTATTCACTACTGTAATAAGTAATCTTGTTTGAAGGCAGGCAATGGGTTAACGAAGTGAAACGTCTAAATAATCCCAACCGTTGATTTTTTATTTATTTATTATAGTTTTTTTTTCCCTGAAACACATTGATATTAATAGTTCACGATAATTTAAATTAAAATGTTGGCAGAATTTTTTAGGTGAAAAAAAAAATATTATTTTAGAATTTTAGAAACATCTTTAAAATATTATTACAAATTACAAAATGTTCAAAGTAATATTCTTTAGATTGCTTTTTTTTTTGTTATTGAATATTGTTTAGATTCATCTTATGGGTAATGTGTAAGATTGCCTCAATTAATAATTTCTAAATAAAGTCCCTTAAAATTGTATTATTTGGAAATTTGAAAATAAAAAATTTATTCTTAATCATTACTGTGTGATATCTAAATCTAAAGCATGACATGTTATAGTACAACATCGTGCGAGTGGAGTTCGATCCATGACCTCTTTGGTCGAGAATACATGTGTGACGTGTTAACTTTGATCAAGTAATACATCTCTAAAAGATAATATTTTCTACTTTTTTTGGCTAGGAAGACGTCAATTTTCTAATATGTTTAAAATTAATTGTATTTTCTTAACAAGTCTTAAAATCTAAAAAATTTGAGATTCGAATTTCCACCCCAATTGTTATATAATATTCTAACTAGCAATTCTAACTCGATAACACATTCTAATGTCATTCAACCCTTTTTTCTTGTCATGCCTAAATGTCATTAAATAACCAATTGAAGAGTTAATACTCTGTCTAACTAGATAACACATGAGGATTAAGTCCAACATAAAAGCACAGAGAACTGAAGCTTCAAGTTTCAACATCAAGTGAAGGAGTAGATGTCTTTTACCGCTGAGTCAAGATCATACCGATCATAAAAATGAACTTCCATAAAAACCATATAGAATTTATTAGTACAAATTCTCGTACTAAAACCCCAAAGGATAATTAATGATGTTTAGGACCTAAACGCCACTTATAGCAACTCCTACCATCCACGTTTTAATGAGAATTACACTTTCACCAAACTCTTGTTCAAAACCACACAAGAATCTCAATCACTCTTTTCAACCTGAATTTTCCCAGATTTGCCACAACATACATGCTTTCTCCTCTTACCCTGTTTTCTCCCCTGGACATTGCTTTCAATGGGGATTTTCATTCATTTTCAGTGGCTTCACACAGCAGCTTGCTTTCTTTCAAATTATTGTACTTTGGCCAACCATGATCATTGATTACATTTAACTATAACCCCACATGAAAACCAGCACGTCTCAGCTCATGAATCTCCGAGTCGAAATTCAGAGAAGAAACCACAGATTACACAGTGAATTCTAGACTTTTGATAGACAAGAATAATCATCCATGCCAATATGATACACTCCAACAATGACCAAATTCATCTTTATTGACAATTAGTGCATTTGAGATGGCACTTTCAAGTTTATAAGATACAAGACGAGTACGCACGTGAGGCCGAGATGCGGAGATGATTGGCATCTTACATCGATTCGTTATTAGTTCTCTTCTAACTAAGCATGTCATGTGATCAATTATTCTATATGAAGCAAGAGAGGATATGTTCTGACCTTTACATTTCGTGTTGGGATTTTCCCTCTATACACAGTTTACTCTGAGCTAAATTAGATATTCGGAATACACTACGAAGAGGGCATCTGGATAGTCTTTTGGCAGGCTGTTAATGTAGCGATGAAAGCGCAACATGTCTTCCTTCGAAGCGGTTTCAGCATCGACCACATCATCGTTGCAGGTGAGAACCCATAAATCCTCTGAGTTGACTCTCTTCAAGCTGCCACGACAGAAAGGACACGACTCCGACCTTGTGTTCCTGTAATGTAGGAAGAAAGAGCAATGAGCACAGACGCGAATTCAAAGTGCTTCATAGACAAGGTGAGACTCGTACTTACCAATTTCGGTAGCATTTGATACACATTGCATGACAGCAATTCGGCAAAACCATCTTTGTGCAGGGCTCCAAGCAAATACCACACTCGTCTTCTCGCTTCATATCGATGTTCATGAGTCTACCCTCTTTATCACATCCTCTCTTCTTGCTAGGTATCTCAATCCAATGACACCCTTCATCGCAATCATCCAGCGTATCCAAGCTACCATGGATCCGCTGAAGGGAAGGCAATATTATGGCTGAAATTCAAGACATAATGGAACACTCAACATCAGAACACTTGAAACTGCTTAAAAAGGATAGAACATCAGCTAACAAACTAAACAACTCGGTACCGTAAAAGTCCCGAATAGTTGCCTTCCTCCCATGCCTGGATATTCCTTTTTGTTTTCCCTCAGGATATACCTGAATGGATAAAAATATCAACAATAAATAAGATACCATATCATACAGAAACCGTGAAAGAAACTTCCTATAGTCATCTACTAATAGGCCACAACTACAAAATCCAACAGACCTTGTACACAAGTATGTGGAAGAGGTTTAAATATCTGGGAAGTAAGCAAGTGCAAGAACAATCCATCCATTGTAGCAAAAACAGAACAATGGGAGCCAATTGATTATAAGCCAACTTCATTTGAAGATAGGGACCCCCTTTTGCCATGGGGATTGCAGCCGCCCTAAAAAGCCATAAATCAAACAAAAAATCAGACAAACCCCAACAGATAACAGTTTGCACCCACTTCCAAAACGAAATTTCTTTCCATTTTGGGCAAAAACCAAACAGCCCAACCACTACAATCGCTTCCAGTAATTGCTTCTCTGATCATCGATACAATCGAAAGGGGAAACAGGACAAGGAAGAGAAGAAGAAAACTCACAGAGAATTTGCATACTGAATATCCGCCTCCAAGACTTCCAGAGAATCCTGATGGGAGAATTTCGCTAGCTGATAATACATAATCTGAGAAATTCTTCTCCCTCTTCTGCAAGAAACCGATGAAAAAACAAAAAACAATAGAGAAACCACAGCGTGAAGCACCGCTCTGTAGGGTATGGCGAAAGAAGAATCTGTGGTTTAAGAACCTCTCACCCCAAATCCCAATTCAGACTAAAAATGGAGAAGGCAAGCTCCAAACCTACTTTCCAGACCCAAAAAGAAGCTTTTTCTTCTCTGGGCTTTTGGGCTCTTTGTCCTTTAGTCAATGGGGGGTAGCAGTGAAACGACCTTTACTCTCACCCCTTGTGGTCAGGAAAGGCTTACAAATAAGAATAAGTTTCAGGCTCAGTTGAGATGATGATGGTGGTGAAGATGAATGGTAGAATCCATTATGGGTTTGTTGGGGGATGGCTTGAAATGTATATTTTTTTTTTCTTTTTTCCCTTTGATAAAGCTTGATTTTCATGCTTATCCATCCAAAACATATTCCTTTATTGCTTGGGAAGCTGGTTTCCTTTCAATATTCAATTTTTATTTTTTTAATAAAGGAAGGATCTTTTTCTTCCAAACTCATATTATATATATATTTTCTGCCTTCCATTATTGAAAAGTAGGATTATTTTTTTGATTGTTAATCGAAATGACCTGTGCCCACTTAATTAATATTTAATTTAAGATTAGTTAGGCTCATTGATGATGCCATGCTGTCTTATGATGTAATTTTCATAGCCTATATTGGTTAATCTACCAAATCACAAGAATGGGTTTGGCAGAAAAATAATCAACTTTAATAATTTTGGTAGAGGTTAGAAATTAAACTTCACCTACTAATCATTCACCGATTCATAAAATTATTTTAACTTTTCAAATACTTAAAAGATAACGAAAATTTGAATGTTTTGTTTGTTAATATGAAAAATTATTCTGTTTGAAGATTCTAAAGTCATATTTTAGAAAACTTACTAATTTGTATGTAAATAAATAAAAAAAAATCTCAACAGTACTACAAATAGTTATCGAAATATTAATTTTATTAACGTTTCATCGGCTTAATATCCTTAAATACTTTAAATCTTATCTTGTTAATGTTAAAGAGGCAAAAGATAAACTAATATTTAATTAATTTTATTAAATTAATATTAATAATAAATACTTTTTTAAAAATTTTGTTAACTAATAATAATTCATTTGTTTATTTATCTAACTAATCATAATCAACACTATTTAAAAAAAACACCATTTTGTAATATTAATTTTAGTTGATCAAATGTCTCGTCATTATTTAATTTGAATTAATTAAACTTATCTAATGCCATATTTTTAATCGACAAAATATTTTTTTCCATTGCCTTCCTCTTCCTCTCTGAGTTAAATTTTTTTATTTAAATGAAAAAAGAAAAACTCAAGGACTGAATTGTCATTGTCCTATACTCCTACCCCTTATAGTTATTATTATTATTATTATAATAATAATAGTGGATTTTCACAATCTTATAATTTTTATATTATTACATAGTCAAACTTGTCAGATTAACATTTAATTATTGATCAAATATCCCACATTATATATTTTTTTACCCTTTTTTTTATTAATCTAAACACTTCACACATGCCAAAAAGCACTGCTTACTGCTTTTGAATCAAGAGCACTACTTACCACTTTTAAATCTAAGGCTGATTTAACTTTTATTTGGAATAACCTCAGATTAATAATAAATATTGTAATTTCTAATTATTTCTCCATAAAACATTCAATATGCAAAATAAAATTTTCAACCGCTATCAATGAAAAATTATTTGATGTGGTGTCATCCTTATAACTATTACCTCAACAAATATTTTTTTTCGTCATAAATTTGAAATTGGAGATTATAAATTAAAAGTCATAAAATGAAAAATTGCCTAATAAAATATCCACAAAGTTAGTGGCAATCTTTAGAGGGAATCTCTGGAGAGAGAGAGAAATAAATGAATAAAACAAGTCCGTTAGATTCTAAAATCAAGTTGTAATATTATTTTAATGATGGTCTCAAATCAATTAGATAATTTTTGGGGCTAAGTTTGCTCCAAGATGGTATTGTTATTAAAAGCATGGCATAAAAAAATTGCAAAAGCTGACTTTGAAATCGACAAAATAAATGCTTACCTAAAATGTTGAAATATTATTTTGGTTAATATACTTTTATTCTACCCCATTTTGATCCTGTATTTTCAAAACGTTAATTTTAGTCCCTATATTCCCCGCTGACGAGAAGTGATTTAGAAAGATTCTTCTTGATCGATGGTGATCGGTTTTAAAAATGACCAATTTAATGTTGATTTGCAAAATTTTGACACAAATATTATACATAATGAAACTATTTAATGCAAACTTATAGCTATATTTCAATAAAAAAAAAAATTATGAGTACTATCTCATAAATAAATAAATAGTGAGTGAAGTATGGTACTAAAATCACGACCGAAAGAAATGAGATAAAAATATAAAATAAAGAGATGAATGACCTTCTTCTAAAAGTATATGGACCGAGTGCATGTTTTGAAATTATAATGACCAAAAATTAATAAAATTTGAAAGTATAATGGTTAAAATAAATATTTTGAAAGTATTGATAAAATGAACTGAAAGATCAAAATACTATTTAAACCTAAATTAAAAAATAGGCATTGATTAAAGGGCAATCACTTCCCATGAGAATAGTTTGTATTATGTTCCATTATTCCATATGAACAAAGTTATATTAATGAGATCAAATACCCATATTAGAAAAGTGTATTAATTCAAGAAATAACTATCATTCATGAACCAATGCACCTCTATCAAGTATTGTATGACTTTTGAGTTGGTGATCACAATTGGTCATTATGTTTGCTGTGCATATTTGGACTTTGAAATCTTTTTGCTCACAAGTGAACAATTAGAGAATAGTGAAAAGGTAAAGATGTGTTGTCAGTGTTCCTATTGTTGTGTTCCTACCAAACAAGGTCTCGTTTCGTTACAGTATCCGATCGTTTTATCATACATTACCCGAAAATGCGTAGCAGAGGCGCCGGGGCCTTATCTCGCAGAGGGAAGGAGGGAACCGTGCGACAAGTCGGGGCTCTCGATTTCGAGAAAGGAGGTGAGCAAAGTTTTCCGGGATGACTGTGCTTTTGAACTGCCTGAAGAGAGTTTCTGGTTTCCTTCAGTACCATTTTCAATCTTAATGGCATCTTGTATGGCTAAGATGACTTCCTGCATCCTTGGCCTAGAAACTCCATGCTGCTGCACACACTGTATGGCAACTTCAGCAATTCTCCACACAGATTCAATCTTCACATTTCCTTCGAGAAATGGATCTATGATGCTCGTCACGTCTCCTTTATGAACTAGGGACCTCGCCTGCAAAAATCGATCCAGTAAAGACTCGAGAACTACAACACTATGCGTTGAGAGTGAAGATCTTACATAGACATACCCAGTGCACAATATTCAATTCACTACCGTAGTCCTCTGGTGATACAGGTTTCTTCCCGGAGATCAGTTCCAGCAGAACCACACCGAAACTATACACGTCGCTCTTTTCGGTCAGTTGTTGACAAGCATAGTACCTGTTATTTTCACATGTTCAATGTCACCAACTGATGAGCAAGGGGGAGATAGATATGTCAGGGAAAAACAATGAATTAAATGTGGCATACTCAGGATCCAAGTAGCCTACTGTTCCTCGAGCGACGCTTGATACATGGGTCAAATCTTCCTCCGCTTGCCTCGATAGTCCAAAGTCGGAAACTTTGGCTCTCATATTGATGTCGAGGAGGATGTTGCTTGTTTTTACGTCTCGATGAATGATACTCGGACTGCATCCTGTGTGCAAGTATTCGAGCCCTGAAAATGATCGATCCAAATACAAAAAGCTTGAATATGGAGTCTTGAAAATCAGTGAGAAGGGTCGAAGTTTTTCACTAGGATAAACCTTTAGCAGCATCTTCAGCAATGTGCAAGCGAGTAAGCCAGTCCAAGCGCTTCTGATTGGTAAAACCTGTCGATAAATGATTAGCGGAGAAAGACGAGAAAACAAACTATTCTTAAGCCAGGACAGGAGAGCAGACCATATAAATGATCTCGCAATGTTCCATTATGCATATATTCGTAAACCAGAATTCGTTGATGTTCTTCTTCGCAGTACCCTATCAAAGGGACCAAATTTCTGTGATGAATTCTCGATAAGAGGGCGACCTGTCGATATCTAACACGGTCAGTAAAACAGAGTTTAATTTCTGCAAGTATACTGTTTCAAAGTCACGCTAACCCAACTAAGTAACGATGACTCTACCTCAGTCGTAAACTGCTGATTCCCATGTGAAGATGACTCCGCCATGATTTTAACTGCCACTTCTTTTCCATCTCTCATTTTCCCATAACAGACCGATCCGAAGCTGCCTTTACCAATTTTCTTAGAGAAGTTATTCGTTGCCTCTTCCAGATCCGAGAGAGATATATAGTAGGCAATGCCATCATCCCCCTTGCCGATCGAGTAGGCAGTTGAGCGCTTGGTGCTGGTTTGCAGAGAACCACCTAAGTCCACATTCCACAATACATGAGAAAATTTGGAGAAAAGTGGTGCGATGAGAGAAGTATTAATCAGGATTCTCTGAGTAGAGACCTCTTTCACTACTTTTCTGATACAGCGTCGTTCTTTTTCGAAGCTTTCGGAGTAATAGTAAAGTTGCTAAAAGTACAACGAACAGAATCACAAGCACTCCCAATGAAACTCCTATTATAAGCTTAGAATGCATCCCGTATCGTTTACTTTTGTGCAGTCCCAGGTTACCGTCGTACCTGCAAGATAAGATCATAATGAAATATACGCTCATGCCCCAAGTCAAAACTCCTCCGGCGAAGCCTGGCTTATAACATTTGTTGCTTAGTTTATGATAATGATTCAAACTCTGAAAGAGCTAATTGTCCCTAGAAAACTATATTCTCAAGAACTGATGTTCAAGCCTTACTATAAAGTATCAGTTGGAGTACTTACTTAAAGATGAGTTTCCTTGTCAACAATTCTGGAGGTATTTCACCTGAAAACGTATTGTTTTGAATGTATCTGCCACATATGATAAACAGTTGATCAATATAACAGCCAAACTTTGTGTTAATTATGAGAGAAACGATTTCTAACCGAAGATTTCGGTTCAACCTATTTTATATAAAAGGCTTAGAAGTTGGAGATTTTGCTACATACAGTTCCTGTAAATTGGGCAAACTACCAAGGTAAGAAGGTAATGGCCCTGTCAAATTGTTATTCTCTAGATGTCTGCATATTCGCCAAAAAAGATCACAACGGTAAATCGCAATCGGTCTCTCATTTTAAGAATGGAAAAATTGTAGATAACCTCAAGAGCTTACAAAATCTTCAAGTTCATTAGATTGCTCATGTCAGGCAGTGGTCCTGCAAGGGAATTACCATCTAACCACCTGAAGAAAAGGAAGACAAGACAATGAATTGCAACAAGATAAATTACAAAAATGAAATTTCACTAATAACAAGATGGGGGCTTACAATTCTGTTACCGCATCCATAGTATTGATCTCGGATGGAATTTCACCCTCGATGCTCTTTCTAGATAGCTCACTGCATCAAAGGTGAAAGGGTAGATATACGTGTAGATAAAATGATTAAGTTCCTTGAATGCAGATCCAACGTCTTAAAATTTCAATTGAGAGCATGATTATATGCATCAGAACTCGTTATAAGAATAACTGATGTTTTGAGATCGTTTTATGTACTTCTCGAACTGATACCGAAAACTTCAAATCTTGCATTGCCTCTGATTCTACATACCAGAAATGCATGGTTTGAAGCTCTAGATTTGCTAGTGCCATTGAAGAGTTGAAGAAAGTTACATTTTAGTTATTCTCGGTGGATTCGTGGCAGTACAGGTCATCCATTCCCAGCTTGTTGGAACACAAGGATCGCCTTCATTTGTCCAAACATTCTCCCTTGACATGATACGAAAGGCATTCATTACAGTCACTACAAATCGAAACAGAAAACACCAATTAGTCCATTTCAGTAGAGAGAATTTATAATCTGTCACAGATAAAAAGTTTCAGGATATCGCTAATCTTCTTGATGAGATGTGGTGACGAAGAATCTACCGTCTCTCTTATCAGTCTTGGCAGCAATCTCAACATATCTACTAATTTCCAATGCATTCAACAGAGGTCCTCGAGTGGAATCTCGGGTCTTAACAAAGGAGAATGAAAGCACGAAACTCAGTGTCACATTCATGTAACTCGGTTCATAAAGAGTATAGGTCCCATTTGCATTCTCTGCAATATTCACCACTGCATTGCTAGAGTCCGGGATGTTCGGTTCCTCCAATTTGAACTTCCGAGTCTCATTCGAACCCAAATCTTCAATTTCAGCAAAGTATGCATAAGCCCTGGCATTGGCAGGAAAGTCATCCAAATTCAACCTGTAGCTGAGCACCCCTTTTGTACCAAGAACAGCAGTTTGCATCACCTTAACCGGCGGATACTCACGTGTCATTACATCAATGTTGTTCAAAGTACTGATTCTTTCTGTTCCAGGAGCCACCCCCACAAGATAATTTTGCCTCTTCTCAAGATCTGAATCCCAAATTCTGTCATATGGATCATCTGGGTACCTAAGAAAGACAAATTAAGTATCAAAGAAAGAAGTTTCCTTAGCATTTAAATGAACAGCTGAAGCCATCAGCATTAAAACCCTTTCAAATCCTTTAAACTTACCTTATCACATCTTTGGTCAGAGCACCAAAATTCACTCTAGCAGCTACTTCCAAGAAGAAATTATCTTCAAAATCAGTTGCATACATTGAAAGATTAAAGGGCCGGAGCTCGAGAGTGGATATGAATGGAGAACCAGTTGTCGCACAACAAATGCACACATCGAAGGAATCAGAAGGTGCCCTGATGATCATCTCCTTCACATAAACTCTCGAAGCATCGAAAATCGTAACAGTCGACCACTTGGTTGCGTCCAAATAGAGCTGAAATTTAGGGTATGTCTCTTCATTTCTCAAACTCCCATATTGAAAAGTCGCTCGAACCAAATACCTCCTCCTCTCCTCTGTGCTCAAAGTGTAACAGTACTTCTTGTCATCGATTGGGAAGTCCCTCCGTGTTTGGTACTGCATCGAGTTTCCATTTGGGTTTTCCACTGGCAATGAGCTGCCGGCGTTCATGATTTCGGCGTCGGAAATCCATGTCAGGCCGGTAACTGGGTCGGTGTAGTTCTTCGTGCCTCCACAGTCTAAACTGACGAACTCTGTTTTTAGAGCACAAATCAGTGTTGTAGGTTTCATTTTTAAACCATCGTTCATTAGAAACCGTTTTCTTTTTTGTCGTCTAGATAAAAAAATGAGCGTTCATTTGGAAATTTTTTGTCCTCGTATCAGACAAGACGAGCAACATCAGAGACAGAGATGAAAGAACAAGAACGTACCTTTAACCTGGCAATCGACAGAGGAAATGACGAAGAGAAATAAAACCAAAAAACGAGGAAACCCCATTTGAAGAACAGAGAAAACGAACAAACCCACTGATGTTTTATCAGTGATTTGCATTACAGTGATCGCTATAACGACAACAGTTTGCTAAGTTTCACTCACATGGTGTACAACTTTAGATGGGTTTCTTTGTGTTGTCCATAGTGTTCAATCATGTCCTCGCGTTGATTTTGGTTTTCGAAATCGTCTTTTTCCAAGGGAAAATATATCTCACATTCACGGGCTAACTTTTTTTTTTTCTTTCCAACTCTTTTCCTTTTTGGAAAGGGGTGCAGCACAAGCTCTGGCCAAATGTTTATCGGAAAAGAAACAATTTTGAAACCATTATTGTGATTCATTTGAAGCAAAGGAAATTGGCAATTTGCAGAGTGAAAAAGCATATACTTTTTGACAATGACGGTGCACTAGATTAAGATTATGAAGATAGCCATAGCCATGACCATGCAAAAACTAAAAATAATAAAGCATAAAGCTTTTTTTTTTTTTTTTAATTTAAAGTGAAGGGTGGGTTTCTGCGGCAATATATTCTTTGCTTTAATCAACTTTTGCTTTTTGTTAAAACAAAATATCTCCTTTTTCTCCACTTGGTACAGCTTGTCTGCAGCTTTTTAAAGCTTTGAAAAATGAATACACGGATTCGCGTTGGTCCCTCTACGTGACGAAATCTGATCCCTGTTCTAACGTTGTAATGGTCAAGGAATCAAAGACCAACTTCTGTAGATGCTTAAATCCATGCCAAACAGCGGCGGATCCAAGATTTCATGGAAGCGGGACGATTAGTGTAGTCATAAAAAGAAAATCAATTAAACTACCATTCAACCTCAAAACTTAAGTAATTGGATAAATTTAATTAATTTATATGGATTCTATTTAACAGTTCAACTCGTTAAGATATGTATTTCAGACTAAAATACTGTGAGTCTTCTACATGTTTGTACTAAAAAACATTGAATTTAGCATGTATATTAATCATAAACTTTCAATTACATTAAATTACACCTTACATTTCACCATTGGTTGCAATTTCATCTTAAAATTTAGAAAATATTGCAAATTTTACTATGTTTTAATTTGAAAATTTATTGTGAACAAAATCTGGTGCTATATTTCATTTGAAATTGACACGATTCATATAAAAATGACACTACAACTGATTTTTTTTGTTACTAAAATTTAGTATTAATTAAACTTAATTCGATAAAAGCTTTATCTTTACTTAATTGATGTGTGAATAGAGTTTGATATTAGTTTAAAATAAAAAGTGATTGAATTATTCATATATGTGGAGAAAAAGTATGATGAAGGCGATGGTTGGAATAAATAAAGAGAAACGAAAAACCATACAATTTTTTTTAATAAAAAAAGAAAGGAATAAAAAAATCTGAACAATATTTGAAAGGTAAACTTATAAATGAGATAATTACCAACAATAGAATCACAGGGAATATAACTACAAAAAAAATCTGTTAGAATCTAATCAAGAAAAAAATAATTTGATTTAAAAATAGATAATCAAATAAAGATGATAAAAGCATACAAAAGCAAATGTTTTGCACATTTCTCAAAACGGGTAATAAATAGAGAGAGTTGTATAATTTCTCAGGAAAAAATGGCCACGTGATTGTGGATTAAAGTTGCAGCCCAAACTGTTAAGCCCAACAGTATTAAATGGGCTCGAGATGACGAAGGGAAACGGCCCAATTGTTCAAATTCTTGCTTCTCCTTCTTTGTTTCTCAAATCAACGAAGATGGAGAAATTCGGTGGAAACGAAACGCCAATGGTGACAGCAGAAATCGTTAAAGACAGGCGATGGGCGTCACTGGTTGAGAACCACTTCCAGCTTTCGGTTGGAATAAAATGGCGCCATCAATCTTGTGTAAGAAGCACGGTTAAGTTGGTAAAGCCGCAACCCTAAATTTGTTTTCGGAATTAGTCAGCCTGTGTTTATCTTCATTCTTAGCATACTTAATTTTTGGGTTTTGGGTTTTCTAGCCATGGAAGGAAACTCTGACTTGGAACCAATGCAATCTCCAAATTTTCAGTTGGGAAAGTTAAGAAACAAGGGCCAAGGATTGGGAGGTGCTGTTGAATGAGAGGGAAGCTATCCCTTTCTTTTCTTAAAGTGTCAAAGGTTTGAAGTTTCAAAACAAAGCAAGGTTATCCATCTCTCTCTCTCTCTCTCTCTCTCTCTCTCTCTCTCTCTCTCTCTCTCTCTCTCTCTCTCTGTTCAATAACCCCTTATAATTGTCACATGACAGGACAAAGCCTTTCCACTTATACATTTGATCTTTTCTCAGGATCCTCTCTCTGTATTTCTTTATCATTAGTTTTGTTCTATCAGATTCTAAGGAGAAAGAGAATGTGGCCAAAACAGCCCAAAAGGAATTCATTTAAAGAATCTGTTAAAGCTGTTGAAGCTGATATACGACATGCAAATAGCTTGTAAGTATTACATAAACTTTATCCAATAAACGTTGTAATCTGAAGAGGAAACTCTGATTCTGTTCTCAACATCTAACCCTTCAGGGTAATTTATTTGGTCGCTCTTTCAGATTTTATATAGATGTAACTTTACCATGATGTCAAAGAAAACAAGTTTTAAGTTTGGTTCATTTGAGTTTTCTGCTAATTTGTCCATCATTTTCCCCAGTGTTATGACTTTTTCACAAGTTTCATGTCTTCTGGAGTCCAAAATCTTGCCTTGCCAGCCTCTTTCATCCTCTTGAACCCAAAAGTTTCCCTGTCCTCTTTCTAGATAGGTGAAGTCAGTTCGGCCTATGGTCCGCGTTATATGAACCTTGTTGCTACTTGAGTTACTTGTTGAGCATTGACATAGAAAATCTTGGACTTCTCATGGGGTTTTGCTTCTGCAGGGCAGCTATGCTTTCGAGAGATTACGGTGGATTTTGCATTCAAATGAGATTGCATTACAGCCCATTTGCTCCATTTCTTCTTCATTTGATTGAATGGATGGATTACAGTTGCACAGATTCTATTCCAAGTTTCTTGGGCCTTTTCCACATACTCTTGTACAAGGTGCTCCGCCATCCCTTCCAGCTTGTTGACAACTTTTCCCAGTGCTGGCGAAAGTTTTCCCTTTTTGGTCGTCTGTTTTCAACTGTTTAAAGAAATCTAAAGCTCCATCAATGTTTCCTCAAGTATGCAGGTGTACGTCGATGGGAAGCCACTAGTGTTGCCAAGAGAAAGAAAAGCCACTCTCAGGGAGTTCTATGGTATGTATTTCCCTTCTAACTTTTGCTTCTTCGGAGACAAACTGATCAGTTTCCAGTTCATTTATTGTGTAACCATTGCAGCTGTAATATACCCTTCACTTAGGCAACTTCAAAGTGGGCATGTCTTGCCGAAAGAAGAGACTTCGCATAGGAAGAGAATAGAAGATGAAAGAAAGATATCTGATGAAGATCTCGAAAGAGACGAAGATCTTGAGAGAGATGAAGAATGTGGGATATGCATGGAGAACTGCAGAAATGTTGTCTTGCCAAATTGTGGCCATTCAATGTGCCTGAACTGCTTCCAAGACTGGTAGCTTCAGTAGCATTTTTACCACCAAATTTTCTTCATTCTTAGTTCCTGTTGTACATTTTTCTTATCATCAGTTAACAACAAAAGTTCTCTCCCTGGTTATCTTGTTTTCAGGAGCACGAGATCGCGTTCCTGTCCTTTCTGCCGTAGCTGTCTAAACAGGTTGAGCTCGGGGGATTTGTGGATTCTTACAGGCGATACCGACATCATCGACTCTGAAACTCTTGCCAAGGAGAATCTATTACATTTCTACCTTTATATTGAAAACCTGCCACTATTTGCGCCAGACATTAATATTTTTGTACCAGATTACATGTTCTGAGCTTTACATCAGAAGAATGAAGGACAATCTACTTGTGCTGGCTACCACTTGTACATAACTTCAACTGAGAATGTGGTACATAGCATGGGAGTAAAATTCTAGCAATGTACAGATTGGAAGGTAGGAAATATTCAGATCAGATACAGATTACATTGGTTCTGCATAGGAGCTGTGAAGAACTATATTGAATTTCTAATGTCACACGTGTAAATTCACGAGATTGCAGGATAGAGAGAGAACACTTCAATGTATGATTCCTGGTGCTAATCCAATGGTCTTCATTTCTCCTTTCCCAGTGTTTTATTCATCATTAAATTGCAATCAATAACTTAAAATATAGATTTTAGCCTCTGAACATGTTGTGGTCCTGTGAAAGACAAAACGATGTACTATCAGAAGTAGTTTAAAAAAGATGTTGAGCGTCGCACTGTGCGATCAGGGAGACCACTGGTGGCTGGTGTTGCATTTAAACAATCACATTCCCATATATGTTTTCTGATTATCTTCTGGTTGGATGTTTTCTGGTTCGAGTATAAGGCTAATCAATTTAATCAGCGAAGAACAAAATGATTTCCGATTCTTGAGGGTTCTGTGTCCAAATAGCTCACTTGGGTCTGATTTAGATGCAGTAAAATGATGAAAGTTTCCTGCTTTCAGGGCATCCATTATGTTAACGCACAAGTATTGACTCTATTGCTCTAACAAGGCTGCACAAAGATGACCATCTAAAAATGACTTCCACTTTGAAAAATTAGTATTTTGTTTCACCTTTCGAAGTCTCGAACAGGAACTTTGGCTTTCCAATCAGCTGTATTTGCTGCAATTCTCTACAAAATTGAAGCAGTCTAAACCAGAACTCCAAATCACAGAGAATTTGTAGGCCACGATATCATTCTGTAAATGCCAAATGTTACAGCGAAGCTTTGTTGAGTGGATAACAAAATGCAAGAACTTTTATATCTTCTTTACTGTTTACATCACGTACTAGGTGAATCAAAAGAAAAAAAAAAAAACTACCGCTACTCTTGAAGAGACTACTCCCAACAACTCTTCACTGGACATTGATATCCACGATTTTACTTGAAACGCTGGCCTTTGGTATTGTTATGTACAAGACCCCATCTTTAACCTCCGCCTTTATCTGCTCATATTGAATGTTCTCAGGCAAAGCAATTCTGCTACTATATCTTCCATAGCTTTTAGCAGACCAATCTTCTCCTTCTTCTACTTCTACCTTTCCATTTTCTGAAGCAGTCTTCTCTGTCAGCGCCTTCTCAGCCTTCACAACCAGCATTTTCTCCTCCACCCACACCTTCACATCCTCCTTCGTCATACCTGGCATGTCGAACCTCATCTTGTACTCATTCTCCCCCTCCTTAATCTCCCATGGAGTTCTTCCCCTGCCGTACCCAGCAGCAGCATCGCCGGAGAAGGACAGTGAGGGCCATGCCCCCGAGTACGCAATTGGGTCGTCCATTATCCTCTCCATTGTCTCCATCATTTGCTGCACCGTTCTCGCCGTCGGAAATCGGTCCCAAAGCCCTACAACAAACATTCGTAATTACCAAAATTCAGCGAAACAAAAGAGCAGAGAAGGAAATTCAGAGTTCTCAACATTTCAGGCTATAGCTTCCATAGCTGAGATTTAGGGTTTAGATTAATTACCAACAGGAGCAACAGGAGCTACCCTTTTCTTGGGCTGTGTAGCTTGGTTTTCCTTCCTGGAACTTCTCTGCAGGTGGTCGAGATTATCCCTGCCATCCCCTGCCATGGCCTTGATGCTAATTCTACGACGGGACGCTTTAGCATTTGATTTGAAGAAATTGGAACATCCATGGTGAAGCTGCCTCGGATCATTGCAGGCTTTCCCAGGCGCGCAGGAGATGAGGCAAGTCAGATTTGAAACAGCTCGAGCCATATATACGAAATCTATGATCTCCCAAAGACTCTGTGCTTGTAGAGAGAATTGCGGGTTCCGAAATGCGTCGGAGTAGTTACAGATATTTCAGCGAAACTTTTCAATGATGAGGAACTCACCATGGCTGACTTATAAAAGGAGCGAGCGGGCGTCTCTAGAAACTGGGAGCGGATATTGGAGACGAAGGAACTGGAACCTCAATTCTCGATTTCTCCAGAGCGACAGTAGAGAGAGACCTCCCAAAAAGGATTATTCTGAATTCCAAATGGTTTCTGGTTCTGGATTCGTCTCGAATGATATCGGGCTCGACCCATTGAATACTTATGGGCCAAGCCCGTTAGCTCAACTTATCCCAGGCCCAATAAGAATTCTTTCACATCGTCAGTCTGAACGATGCTCTTGGGCCTGTCCAAATGGCCCAGAATAGTGAGGGATTGTTTTTATTTTACCGGTTAAAGTATCATTTTATTCACGTTTGTAGCTTCGTTTCAATTTTATTATACACATCTTTTTAAAAGTTTCACCGTTAATACACTTTTTTTTCTCTCTCTGTGGCAGGGATTAAACTCTTTTCTTTCTATATACGAAAGTGAAAATTTAAACTCACAATATTTTAGTAGAACATATATGTTTTAATTAATTGGACTATATTCAAATTCGTACGTAGATATTGAATCCGAAAGTGGAAGGGGCCTAGCAAAATCCGTTTCTTTCTTTGGTTAGCGACTCACAATCGTCTTCTCACAAATGAGGAAAGGGTTCGTCGTCACCTTTCCGAGTCTGCTGTCTGCCCTCATTGCCCTGATTTAGTGGAGTCCTCGTTGCATATTCTCCGTGACTGCCCCTGTGCTCACGATTTGTGGCGTGGTCTGATCCCCTCGGGTCTCCCATCTTGTTTCTTTGCTGGTAACATTGCCTAGTGGATTCAATTTAATTTGTCGGTTCCTTTGGTTTCGCATTGGTCGTCTATTTATGCAACAGGGTGTTGGTTGCTTTGGAATTGGCGCAATAAATCTATCTTTCAACCACAATTCTCCTTTCGACCATGCCTGTCTTGATAGTTCATTGCACTGCCAGTAATTTTGTGAATTTATGGAACTGGGTTGTCCCTTTCCTTTCGAAGCCTTATCATTGTTGGTCTGCTGTTAGCTGGGAGGCCCCTCCGGCCAATTGTTGGAAGCTTAATACCTACTAGTGCAGGCGGCCTCATTCGAGATCTAAATGGGCAGGAGGGTAGTGGGTTTTATGCATAATCTAGGTCATGGTACGTCGTTTACAGCCGAATTGTGGGGTGTCTTTTTTGGGTTGAAGATTGTCTCGAATGCTGGTTGTAGGAATCTTCTTGTTGAGGTGGACTCTGAAATGGTGCGCAGTATCCTGTCTAAGGGATATCATTACTTGCCTTTGCTTCGTCCATTGGTGTCGAATATTAACCATCTTTTGTCGAGGGATTGGTTTGTCGACTTTTCGCACATCTATCGTGAAGCCAATTCTTGCACAGATTGGCTTGCTCGTCGGGCTTCTTCGACTACTGTGAGTTGTCATGTTTGTGAGCGACCATCGCCGGGTCTCTCTCCCTTGTTGATGGTTGATGTTATGGGGTCTCCATGCCCCGCCTTGTTCCTCTTTTTAGTTTCTTAGGCTTTTTGCCTCCTTCGTTTCGAAAGAAAATATCTTGTACATAAAAGTAAGGTAGTTTTATGTCTAATACACTTCGAATTATTAGACTTATGCATATTTTTAAATACCTTAATTATTGTTCATATGAACATAGCTTGAGGATTAAAACATTTTACTTTTTTTTCTTAAGATTGTTCGAGGTTCAAATCTATATCTATATATTTGTGGTAATAAAAAGAATTTTAGTTCTTAAAACCCACCTATTTTCTATCTCCGTCAGACCATCCCGTTCAATTAAAATTAGATGGACTATTATAATGAAATTTATAAAAATATAGTGGCTAAATTAAAATCAACTTAATTTCTAATTTATTTTCTAAGAGTATAATTGCCGCATAATGGTTGCTAACCTGCCGTTAATATATTATTATTATTATTATTATTATTATTTCAACTCATTGAATAAAGCTGTACTCGAATAAAAATTAATAATAATAATAAAAAAAAACTCATTGAACGAACTACAAAGCACGTTGGCATACTTATATTCAGGTCAAACGGATTATCTGTCATTGATAAAATAATAAATATAATGGAAAATTTAAACTGAAAATGTCTCACCCAACCAGATTTGGTTTTTTTACGTATTTTTTTAATCATTGTGTATTAATTAAAAGAAACCATTTCAATTAATATCGCCATATTATATATATATATATATATATATTTTTTTTTGTAGATAACCATATTATATATATTTAATTACAGAACATGTGGTAATTCAAACATTGACACAAGCTGATTGTTGAAAAGTCAACTCGTATCCAATCCATTTATAATGCGAACAGCCTCACCATATATAAAGATTAGTTATTAATTACAACACGACATTTTATGTGTTTATACCTTCCTTTTTTTAGAGAAATTCTAATGTGTGACATTCACGATATGATATGAATTATGATTAATTATAACTTAGTGAACTGTCATTGCTACTTTTGTTAATTCCTCAACGTGATATGATAATTATAAAAAATTATATCAAGAGTAAGAAAAAAAAAGTGTTAAATACTATTTTGATCCATATGCCTTCAACTTTTTGTTCATTTTGGTTTATGTACTGCCAAAATGTTCATTTTGGTCATTGTTGTACATTTTAATTATTATACTCTAAATATATTGATTTTTGTCAATGTATTTTTAAAAAGTGACCAAATTAATCTTTATTTGTAAAATATTTATACAATATTGGAACCTTTAATATAAATTTATAGTTACATTTCAATAAAATTAGCGAGTGAAATATTATGATAAGATTATATACGATTGAAATAAATTAGATAAAATTTGTCACTTTTTAAAATACAAGAAGCCAAAGCCAAACTTAATGTTTCAAGAGTTCATAGATTAAAATAATAAAAGTTAAAAAAGTACATCGAACTAAAATAATATTTTAAAAAAATATTTAATAGTATTATCTCTCTTTCAAAATAAAAGGATAAATTAGTTATGAGCTTACATGATCATGTTAAAAGTCTCCTCCATTAAATAATATATATATTTAATTTGTCACTACTACAAGTTGGAAGATTTATTTTTTGTTAATACTCTTCTTACCAAAGATATGCTCGCAAGATTGGAATAAAAAAAATTCATTTAATCACAATCACACTGCAGATGGAAATAATCAAATAGAGATCACATCCTTTGTTTCTTTCCCCCTTAAATCAAACTTTCAATAAAAAAATATATTTCAAGATCGGTCCACCACAAAAAGTAATTAATTCATTCGCACAAGTAATTAACGATTGATTTCCTCATATAAATTTATAGTTAATATCACATCAATTATTAAAAAGGAAATTAACAAAGTGAAAGTATAATAATTTTAAGATTATTATTTATATTTAATTCCTATGTATCTCTTTTACCTTTATATATAACAACAATAATAATAATTAATAACATCAAAGAACTAATTAATAATTTACATATATATCAATCAAGAGGTTGTTACGAACGTAACAACCACATATAAATATCTAGAATTTGAAGTCTTTTCATAAAAATAAATTTACTTCACCACAAAAATATTCACCACAAAAATAATTGAAACTTTTAATGATTTAATCTCAATCTTGATAAAAATAGTTATATGCTAAAATTGATAATAAACATTTAAATTAATATATGAAAGTTAAATTGACTTTGATACTTGAATTTAAATTTGAAATATGCTTGGGTGGAAACTATTGTTATACAAAGTAGTAGGTGAACTGGAAAAGAAAACACGTATATATATAAAATATATTATACCGATTGAAATGAAACAGAGAGAGGAAAAAACAAAACTATACATAACAATTTTTTCTTTTTTATTTTATTTTGAGGCAAAAACTATATATTATAATGAATACTACATTGCCCACTTGTTTGGATAAAAGACATTAAGTTCAACGTGAAATATTGTATAATACTAGAAAGGAACTTGTTATTAACATTTATATTGAAATATGTTCGTATATTAAATATGATATATTGATCGTAAGTCAGTTGTTGACACATATTTACATATACATACTAAATATTTTTTTTTAATTTAAATTATATTATGGTACTTCAACTTCAACTTGTTATTTGTCATGTTAGTTTTAGAGTAATATATATAATTATATATATATATTTCCCACCCAATAATCTTTTAGGTAAAGAAAGAGTAAATAAAAAATAAAAATTACTGATTAGATAAAAGGCTAAATAGGTAGTTTTATGTCTAATTTATGAGTTAAGTTTTAATTTCGACATTAGAATTTAAAATTTTATAATTTCGAATTAAAAAAAAAAAGCTACCGAAGAGATGAAAGACTAAATATATATTTAGTTTACAATATATAAGTTACTTTTCAATTTCATCGTCAATATTTAAAATTTTAAATTTAATACACGTATATACATATTCTCAATATATGAAAATCCATCAATGAAATAGCTATTCTAACAAAATACATTTTAATTAAAATGTTTGAAACATTCTCGTACTTATCAAATATTAGTTATCAAATTTTGTAATATTTTAGTCACACTCAGTCATTTATTTGAAAAAAAAAATCAATACATCAAGAATTAATGAAATTTTAAAAATTGCACAAACACTGAAATTGTGAAAATATACATTATATCTTTTGGCTTCTATTGAATTCAACATACTGTCTAGCTCATTTATTTTTTTTATTTATAGTTAATGAAAGTATAAATTGAATCAATACATGAAAGTATCTTTGGCTTTTAATTGAATGGAAATTCTAAGCCCTACAAACCAAAATTAAATTTGATAAAGTTAGAAAGCTAAAATCTAAAGGGTTTGAATGTTCATACATAATAAAAATACAGAGATAGGGTAGAAATGTAGGAATAAAATGAAAACCCAACATTTTTGTTTACTTAACATACAAGAATTAAATCGTCGTTGTACTAAAAAATAAAATAATTTTATTTGATACGATGACGATGACGTGTTATCTTCCCTATTTGACTTTGACCAAGTATCATCCACTGAGGAACTAGCTCCCCATAAATCGAGATGAAAATGAAACCTCCATTTTCCATCCCTTCAATTCCCCTGCATTTTCTTCTGCACAATTCTTGAGAAATCATGGCCGTCGAAATCGAAGTGATCTCCAAAGAGATGATCAAACCGTTTTCCCCGACGCCGGCGCACCTCCGCCGCTGCAATATGTCGTTTCTCGACCAAGTAACCACCGACGTGTACAACCCAATGGTGTATTTCTACGCCCCCACCGCCGATTTCGACGCCGCCAAAATCGCCGACCACCTGAAGAATTCCCTCTCCCACGTGCTGACCGAGTTCTACCCTCTCGCCGGCCGAGTCAACTACGGCGAGTTTTTCATCGACTGCGACGACGGTGGCGTCCCCTTCATCGAAACCAGAGTCAATTGCCGGCTCTCTGATGTGGTCGGAACGCCATTTCCGGGCGAATTGAACAAATTCCTTCCCTTCGAATTGGACCAGCTGGAGGAAGTTTCGATGGGGGTTCAATTGAACGTGTTCGAATGCGGCGGCGTTGGCGTGGGAATTTGCGTTTCCCATAAGATTGGTGATGCTCTGTCGTTTTTCACCGTGGTGAATGGGTGGGCGGCGTTCGGCCGGGGGGAAGTGGAGGCGCTGCGGGGGCATTTTGCGTCGGGGGAGCTGTTCCCGCCGACGACGACGGCGCTCTACAACACGAGGAATAGTATTTTTAGAGAGAGAGTGGCGAAACGGTACGAGATTAATGGTGCGAATATTGAAGCCATTAGAGCCAAATATGCGGAGAGCGACGCCTTTGAGAATCAACGACGCCCTTCTAGAGTCGAGTCCTTGTCCGCCTTCCTCTACGGCCGTTTTATTGCCGCCGTTAAAGATGTAAGTCCCATTTTCAAGGATATTTGAACAGTAAAAAATATTTAAAAAGCTTTGAAGCAAGTCTATTTGGGAAATTAAAAAAATGCGTGTTGTATTGTATTTTTCAGGAGTGTAGCGACGAAAATGGAAGGCTGGAATCGGAGAAAACGACGACGTATTTGGTGTGTCACGCAGTAAACATACGGTCAAGACTGGAGCCACCAGTCCCGGAATACGCATTCGGAAACTACTACCGGAGCACATTCGCAATTCCCTCGCAAGAAATTCTGGACGACCCCAACTGCTACGCCCTCGTGCCGCACGTGCGACAAGAGATCGCCAAAATCGACACCCACTATCTGAAGCAGATCCAGGACAACAGAAACTTCCTGGACGCCATGAAGAAGACCTCGGCCCGGTTCGCGGCCGGTTCGCTGCTCTCCTGCTCCTTCACCAGCCTCTGCCGAATGCCCATCTACGACGCCGACTTCGGGTGGGGCAAGCCCGAGTGGGTCGGGTCCCCGGCCCTGATATTCAAGAACCTCTTCGTGCTCGTCGACAAGAAGGACGGGGACGGGGTTGACGTGTACGTTCATCTCAAGAAGGAGCACATGGCCAGGCTCGAGGCCGACCACCTCTTCCTCAACTACGCCAAACTGCCTTCTCCTTCTCCTTCTCCTAATTGAATTCCATCGTTAATTAATTTTCTTCCATTTCCTTTCCGATGTTTTTTTTTTAATATATATATATTATGTACGTGGTTTGAATTTTGATGAACTCTCAAAATGCGGACACATCAAGTAGCGTGTTCGTTTAAATTATAACGACGATTCTTTCTTGTCAATAGCATTTTTACGTTGGATTTTAAATTATTGGTCAAAATTACCGGGCCGGACCGGAACGACCCGAGGTTGTATTTGGGCTTCGAAGTACAGAGGCCCATTATGAATACAGGAGGCAAAGGCCAGCAAAGCAGCTCTAGTTTTCTAGTGAGAGTGGCTACAATCCAAAGCATTAATTTGGAGTGAAAAATGAGTACATAAGATTTGTCCTTTCTATTTAAGCTAGCAAAGACCCATTAATGGAGTGAGCACTGGTCATCAAACTCTCAGATACTTAGTGTCAAATTCCAATCAATTCACAACCAAGAATATTGCCTACTGCCAACAAATTAAAAGAGTTATTTAAAAATAACAGAAACCCACTTAAAAAAAGCTTTTAGTTCTCTTGGTTAGAAAAAATAATATTAATGAACAACCAAATCAGTCGTATGAAAAGAAAAATAACCTTTTTCTTCTCCTTCGTTGATTATGTTGAGATTGACAACGGAGCTCTGTGTGTTTTACATCTCTTTTCTGATTGATTCTTCATCTGGGTATTTCCTTTTTTTGATTTTCCAACTACGCTTTACCCAAGTTAATAAAAGATAGCTAAATTTTAGTTTTTTCAGTATCCAATGGCAACATGGCATACAAGTGACTGAATATTCGAATATCAATTTGCAAACGTGTATGCCACTGTTTCTTGTTGTTAATAACATTTTTAAGCAGTTAAAATTTGTCATGTTCTCCATTTAGCCATAGACCAGTTTTCCTTAAAATGCCTAACTTTGTATGCTTTTATCAGAATTGGTGGAGAAACATCTTGTGGCTTGCATCTTAATTTCTTGAATGGTAGCTATTATGCTAGATATGTTTTCGAATAGTGTGATGCGTGTACTGCTCCAAACCGTTCGTATCTCTACAATGATATGATATTGTTCGTTTTGGACATAATTCTCATCCTTTTGTTTTTGTATCATCTAAAAGACCTTATACGACCTAATGGAGATAATTATCCTCGTCTATATAACATGGATCACTCTCTTCCCTAATCCAACCTATGTGGAGAAACTGGATGGTTACTGGGAGCAATCAAAACACGGACTTCGACCAATTTAAGCCTTCGTGAAAGTCTTTGAAAAAGAAGTCTAGCTAAGAATTAAACTAGGGATTCTCGGTTCAAATTTTGAGATCTTCAATTTTTTTGTATTTGAGAGTTTGGTAATTTAAACAACTTTTGTTGTGTTTTAGCGATCCATTTCTAAAAGATTTGCAGCTCAACATTAGCACCAGTTTTCTTTGAATTCACGGTCAGGAATTTGCGTGGATTGTGAGACAGGGCTTGAATTTGGAGGCGATGCTTCTGCGTGCAATGCAAGAAATAAAAGACAATAAGGTTTGACTTGACACCCAAGTTGCGACCATGAAAACTTGTGCTTGGGACCATTTTTATTATTATTATTATTATTATTATTATTTTGGCCTATTTGTGTTGTGTTAATTGGAGTTGATTTAGAGGCAGATGATAAATGAGGTTGAAATCCAACTTCCAATTTCCAACCAATGGGAGTGGGACATCCTTTTCCATATCTTTTTGGAATTTTATTTTATAAGGAAATTCTTGCGCAAATACCAATTGATACAGAAAAACTATGCCAATCTTATCCTCCAAGTTATCCTAACAGATTCCCTCTAAGTCCTAATTCAACCCAAACAAATGTAGATTATTTGATTCGTTGGGTTTAAGTTTTTCTTCTATTTTACACAACTACCCTTTTTCACACATGCTCCCCATAACGTGGTAATATCAATAACTGCCCCTACCCGATTTAGGTCTACTATAATAATCAATGTTATTTAATCTCATAAACATTTCTTAAAAAATGACACTAAATTTATATATTGTGAATTCCTCGCTTGCTTATTTACAAATAATGTCTGTGTTGGGTGAATGGAAAACAAATTCAGACTTGGGTAAGAATTGGGGATAGGAATCGTATTTTTAGTCCTCGAAAAAGTTAGGAAATTCTTTTAGTTATAAATGTAAAATCCTCATCGTGTAGAACTCCACCGGAAGAAAACTTTTATCGGAACATACTATGTGTGAGTTTTCACACATAGTACATCAATACACTGTTATTACACATTTAAAATCGTTACTCTTTTTACTGCCATGGTAGAATAACATCAATAGCTCATTTGAATAGTTAAGATTATTTTTTCTGGAATGGTTAAGGCTTAAAAGAAACAAAAAGATATTATTTAATTTTCCAATTAAAATATTGACACGACACATCGTTAATGAATGAATTAATTAATTTTGACATCACATACACGCTAATTTAGAGTGGTGTGAGAGGCAAACTAGGGATTAGCGCGTGGGACGATGACAGTTGAATTTGAAACCCAACCTAAGTTTGGAGGAGGATGGCCCACAATTCCTCCAAAAGAAAGGCAGCCGTCGGATGAAAGATCCAACGGTGGAAGAGAAAAAGTGGCGAAATTGGAAAGGGGCGGAGAGAGAGGAGGAGGCGCCAATTAGGGCTCCGTCTCCCGCCACATCTCGCTGCCCCAAAACAGAAATCTACCCCTCGTGACCGACACGTGTCCTTCTTGCCCTATTTCCTTATTTTAACATTTTTTTCTTCCCTTCCTTCTCCTTCCTGGTTTCGCAACACCACTCTCTCTCTTTCTAGAAACTCGAATCGGCATCCTCTCTCTCTCTTCTCTTCTCTGTGTCTCCTGGTAGAATTCTCCCATCCGTGGAAGGAGCTTGCGGCAGCCTATTCCTTTGCAGTATTCCATTCCAGTAAGCTACGTTTGTTGGGATTCCATTCCCTCAGATTTCCCCTTTCATCATTCCTCCATTGCATCTCTTTCTCTCTAACTTAGGGTTTCCTCTTTCAATCTGGTAATTTTTGTGTTTTTCCTTCTGCGATTTCCGATTTCCTTTGTGTTCTTATCGTACGTTCTTTTCCTTTCTTCCTTCTCTGTAACCCTATTTTTCGTTCTGTTAATCCGAAAAGAAAAAAAAAAGTTAAATTATCGTAGTCTGTGATTTTACTTTCTAGATATATTCGGTGCGGGTGCTTCCTTATTTCCCCTTTGTTCACCTGTGCTTCCATCTGGGTTTAGCTTG